AAACCTTCAGGCCTTTGTCGGCGCAAGGAGCAGCTCCTCAAGCGGCCATAATCCTGGCAGGGGCTTGGCATTTGCACAAGGGGAGGAATTGGGAAAGATTCTATCCAGTAACAGCCCGGGAGGGTGAGGGAGAGGAGGACGGAGGAGTTGTGAAGGAGGGTCGAGCCAGAAGGGACAACATGACATGTAGGAGCAGGAGCAGGAGCAGGAGCAGGAGGACTGAGTCCTCCTGAGAATGATTGTGGACTGTAAGCCATGAGTACGAGGTGAAACATGCGAAGAGAGCAAGCATTGAACAGGCAGTGGCAGGTATGAGTGAGAGAGGAGGAGTAGCTGGACTGGAGCTTTTGATTAACAAATGTTAAGAGATGAGCCATGGACTAGTCTGCAGCAGGTAAGACAACAAGTTGAGTTTCTTGACTGTTCTGCCCATCATTACAGCTTCGGTAGGCCGGCAGACCTGAGGGCTCTGCTTGTCAGGAAGGGGAGGGAGCAAGAGCAAGGAGAGGAGAGAAGGAAGGAAGGGGGGTGTGACAATCAGGAGGAGAGGGGCAGGGCATGCTCAGAGGCGGAAGAGAAAGGAAGGGAGCAAGGGGACGGGGGGTGGATGCAAAGAATGGGAGGAAGAGCTGAAGAAGGAAGAGCCTGAGGGGAGGAGCTGACCCTAGCGCGCTGTTGATCTGAGGCTTCACTTGAGGCCAGTACTTCTTCCTAATCTCGGGCATCGCGCCGTAGGCGAAGACGCACGCGAGCGTTCCGACAGTCGCGCCGACGGCCATGTGACCGAAGAGACCCTTGCCTTGGAGAAGAGGGTAAGATGAGGAAACAACCTCCTCTAGAGCATCTCACCTGCCATGCTGCGACCAGAGACCAGAGACGCCAGCTGGAGGAGAGTTGATCAGTCAGGAGAATCGCATGCTCTTGCCCATCACCATTCCTGCAGCGACGAAGTCGTTCTGCTTCTGCAGATTTTGATTCTAGAAGCCAAACAATGAGCTGGCAAGGTCGACATTCGCTCCATGTACCTGAGTGATTCTGTAGGCGCGATCATCGACCCCATCAACGGTCAAAGGAACGCCATTGCGCATCTTCGTTCCTGCGAACTGAAGGGATCCATCAGCTCCACGCCTCCCGGAGCCTACGGACTACCGCTAGGACGGTGATCGCTCCTGCGCCAAACAAATAGCCTCCGACAAAAAAGGACCTTGACAGGTTCATGTCAGGCAAGCATCGTCGACAAGCTTGCGTGCTTCTCACCCTCCAACCCTTGGCATGACTACAGAGAAGAGCTTCTCTTTTCTGCCCTTCTGCATCCTAACGATCAAGTCAGACACTTGAGCACGGAGATCAGATCTTTGGGCCTGTACCATCGCAGTGGAGCAATGATGCCACACGCTAGAATAGATCCGACCTTCAACACACAGTCGTCATGTCAACGCACAGGCGTCAGGAGCCAAGATGTCCGCATTTGATGTCAAGAGAAAAGAAAACTCCTCGAGCAGTTGAACTCATACCTGTGCTGTGCGAAATCCAACATGGTTGACGAACACAGCACCTGATTGCGTTGAATACCGAGACATCTCCACATGCCCGACACTCACCTGGATATTCCGGCATGTTCGGATCAGTATACTTCGATCTGTCTACTTTCCTACAATTGAGAATGCAAGTAAGATCAACCTCAAGCTGACGTTCAGTGCAAAACCAACCTGCGAGGATCAACCGCTGCAAGCCTATCAACTCCTGTGGACATCTGCCCAGAGGTGTCAACATTAGATCATGTCGGTAAGCTATAGCATGATTTCAGGTTTTTCTTTCCTATAGCATAGCCAACTAGCGTGATGTTCATAGTGAAAAACTACAGAAAAGAGTTTGCATTATCTTGCTCTATTTAAACCACAGTGATCGGTAAAGGAAAAGAGCTTTAGATCAAGTACGAGCGTTCACTAGACACAAAAAACTACATCGACTATAAAAGCATTGATCAACGGCAGTTCAAAAGGAGCCATATAATGCTAACCACACGAACCACATCAGACAAGAGTATACATGAATCAAGAAGCATTCGTGTCGGAGTGAGAGGTGAGGAGAGAATGAACAGCAGCATCTGACTTGACTAGAAGCGACTAGGTGCATTGGAAGCTTGAGAAGCATCAGGCCATCCTCGTGACATCAAGTTGCATGAACACTAAGCAAGTCCTTCAGCATGGCTGTGTTTGACCATGGCTGCATATCATGTCGGCTTCTCAGTGTCAGGAGCATGTGCGGCTGATGCGAAGAACATTGGCTTCGTGGCAAAACTTCGCCATTTTAGCCGCGGAGGAGGTAATGTGAAGTGGAGGGGTCGTAAGCAAAGGGGGAGGTGGAGGGGGAGTCAGATAGGCCATGATGGGTAGGGTAGTCATCCATGGTAGGTAGAAGCAATGATGCAAAGGTAAGATGATGATGTGATGATATTATAGACAGAACTGAATAAATACTGAGCAAGAGAGGTCAGAAGACATACCCAATGTAGAGTATGGGGTACAGTTTGCTTGTGTGGGGGTGAAGTATTGTGTTAGGGGGTGGGGGGTTGTTGGAGCGCATAATGATCATACCTAGTCTAGAGGAAGGGCACATAAAAGTACTCAAGGGTGAAACTAAGGGTCTTCTTGACTCTAATATGGTGGTAGGGGTCATAACCCCCACCCACTCACACCAGTCTCTCAGTGAAACGTTACTACATAATATAACTAGCTGTTTGTCCCGGCAATGCCCGGAAAGAATTTAGGAGATATCTCGGCCCGGACAGCCGCTCGCCCGGCCGGTCACTGTGACACTGATGGGACTCCCGGGCCGGGCCGGGCCGGGCTTCCTCAAACCCAACTGACAACCTTTACACTGACAACTGTCGCTTGATTATCTTGTTCTCAATGTGACTCGTCACTGGCACCATGACTAAGTTGCCGCCGCACCGTCCGACTGGCTGCCAGACTGGCAGTGCTGCGTTGCCAGATCGAACTTCGGAAGCGTCACTGTCTCGCCTCGTCTGGCAGCGCCCTCCCCTTGTCCACCCGCCAGTGGCTCCAGCGCTTCCGAAGTTCAAGTCAAGTCACCACCCTGGGTAGACTTTCTCCGGTCCTGGGGAGGTCAGCTGGTCAGAGAGCTCAACGAGCAGGTCGCCTCCTACGAGCATCGCCTTGCCGAGGAGGTCTCGTCGGTTTGCCGCTGCCTGCTCCTCCAAGGCAGAGACTGGCGATTCTAGGAGCGAGGTAAGAATGATGAGCTGCCGCGTGTAGCGGAAGAAGACGAGGAGGAGCACAGGAGGGGGAGGAGAAGGGGGGGGACCAGGAGGAGGAAGAGGAGAGGAGGGAAAGGAGAATTTTTGGGGAGAGGAGGAACGAGAGGAGGATACCTTGAGTCGGCGGTGTCATCTTGAGACCACTGGCCCTGCAACACACGACGGTGAGGAGGAGACGAGCGGGGAGCTGGACTTTACCTTGACGTCCGGGACTTCCCTGGAGGAGCTGGTGGGGCAAGTCAGAGATCAGCGCAGTCGCGTCCGCCATGTCCATACACGACGAAGTAGGAGAGTGGAAGAACTTCAGCCGACAACTCCTGCGCCTCGACGTTGAGCGCTTCTGGGTACGCGTCCACGAGCAGGTCCACTACAGCTGCCAAACAAGATTCAGCTAGAAGAGGAGGACGAGGAGGACGAGGAGGACGAGGAGGACGAGGAGGACGAGGAGGACGAGGAAGAGAGGACGAGGACGAGGACGACGAGGACGAGGACGAGGAGGACGAGGAGGACGAGGAAGAGAGGACGAGGACGAGGACGAGGACGAGGACGAGGACGAGGACGAGGACGAGGACGAGGAGGACAAGGACGACGAGGAGGCAACAGGAGCTTAGAGGAGAGGGGCCGTTGCAGTAGATGACGAGAGGGATCCTTCGAGCCAGGAGTCAAGACGCGCCGCTCCCTCCATGTTTGCGTACCTTGCTGTGGAATCTTTCAACCTCGCGATCTCAGGCGTGAGAATTCTCCTGACGTTGCCGGCCATGGCATGAGGAGAAGAGCAGAGGACGTGTAGAGGCGTCCTCCTCCTCCTGCAGCGCCGGTGAGCTCAGGAGACAGGCGGGCAGATTGCTGCTGACCGATCTTGGACGCAGATGGGGGAGGAGGGGATAGAAGTTTGTAAGATGAGGTTGCAAAGGTGGGATACAAGCTCCAGAGGATGGTTGCGCTGGAGCAGTAGCTGGGCCATCTTGAGGTGGAAGGGAGGTGGGAACGTGCCCTGGTATCTGAGGTAGAAGTCGACGAGCAGAAGCAAGATCCCTTCCGCTCTCTCGTCCTGATGGCAGAAGAAGTTTCAGATGGCCAGCAGGTCAGGAGCGGCGACCTGCCTTGTCGACCGACAGCCTTTCGAGCTCGAGGTTCAGCTCGATATGGAGCATCTTCCAGGTGGAGGTGTACTGGGAGACAAGCACGTCACGCAGGTGGTCAGCAGCAGGACAGACAGCATGCCTCGCCCGACCTCTCCTGGCAGAGGCGGTACACTCGGTCCACAGCAGCCTTGACCTCTGAACCCTCCTGCTGGAAGGCATGCTGGAAGTAGGAAGAGAGGACTTGGTGGAGGTCTTCCTTCGCTGCTGACCTGTGGAGCTTCTTCTTCACCGCTAACAGCATCTTCTCCAACGCCGCCTCGTCCAAACTTTGACAGGCTCAGTCAGCAGACCGACCCGTCCAGCAGCAAGTGGCCACTCACGTCTCTTGTGCTGGGCCGGCTGCCCCGGGTGATGGAGACGTCGAGGCTCCCTGCTGGCAGGTGAGGTGGAGGTGGCTGTTTCTCAGCTCGTGGCCTTACGGAGCTGCGGCGGAGATTCGCTATGGAGGATTTCCGACGGTTTGCAGCGACTTTGCGGATCCTGACAGGCGGTCACCAGGGGCCCAGCTGGGGTGGGGGAGAGAGCACTCAGTCTCCTTCTGCTGCTTGTCGACAAAGTCCTTCATCGTCTCAGCCTGCTCGAGGACGGAAAGGAGGGGGCAAGGAAGAGTTTTGCGATAGACCTGCACGTGGGTGAGGAGAGGAGAGGGAGAGAGGGCAAGCAACGGTCGCCACGCCGAAGTTCTCCTGCACTCTCAAGATGTAGAAGATGATCTTGAAGGAGATCTCAAGGAGCTCCTCAACAGATTGAACAAGAACAAGTACCAGGTCAAGAACGTCGATGTGAGTGCAGATAGAGTTGGAACAGACTTGATGCAGGATGGTCTGACCTTTCCTTTACCAAACGTGAGACAGGACGGTCTTCTATGAACAAGGATCAAGTCATCAAGTCACCTGTTCAAGGACATAACGGACTCTGGAAAGGCCTGGGAGCCGAAGAGATCAACGTGGAACTATAAGGCTCTCGTGGGGGACCTCGAGAAGGATCTGGAACATCTGCCTGGTCGCTGACACGTTGCTCGCGAGCAGGTGAACAGGAAGGTCTCCCTCAAACGATGAGAGCTTTGCACTCCTGAGAGTGACACGTCGACAGAAGTAAGGAGCAATGAAGCATGTTGAGAACGTGCTTGCCTCTTGTGTGAAAACAGAATGATCTCGAGCAGCGACAGCTCCAAACCTGTGTGCAGCATATCAGACATGTGAAGATACAACTGAGACACTGACATGGGTTGGTACACAGATGATGTAGAGGCGTCATGCCCAGGTCGTCGGGGATGGCGCACTGGCAGGAGCGTCAAGGAGGAGCTGGCGGATGCTGGTCGGGCTTACGGCAGTCGGAGATTTCTCGACGAGCGACTTGAGACTTTGAGCCTCGACCGTCCGGTTCCTACAGAGATGATGGAGAGGGAGGCGACCCCGCCCATCGCATCTGGAAGGTTTTCTAAGAGGACGAGAGAGAGAGCGATAGCTACCTCATGAGATCGTCGGGTGATCGGACAAGTTTGTTGAGGAGCTGTTCGAGGTCTCGCATCGAATCTTGTTTGTCATCGTCGCTGTTGATCTTTCTTGCTTGAGTTTGACAGAGGATGTGGAAGACAGAAAGATTTTGATCGTCTTCCCATAAGACCCCTGCAGGAAACATGGAAACAAGATGCTCTGATGACGACGAGTAAAGAGGACAAGGATAAAATCATGAGGACGGGAAGAGCAGGACGAGGACGAGGACGAGGACGAGGACGATGTCGTGGTGATCGAGGAGGAGTATCATCAAGACGAAAAAGGGGAGGAGGATGGGGAGAACAAGTTGTACAGTTCAGTTTCTCTAGAGGAAGTTCCAATGCCTACCTATGATCTTGTTGCTTGCACAGTTGTTTCCGCACAGATCGTGGAGGGGGATTCGGTTCCATCGTGATCTACAGCACTACGTAAAAAGCTTGCCGGAAAGATGAGAGGTTGTCACTTGTTCTTCGTAGTTACCATCACATGCGCTGAGGGGTGCGAGCAGATGAGAATCATTCCCTGCTCATGAAAAGCAATCACACCATCAACATCCCCTCTCCCACCCTCTTGGAACGCAGACTTCCCTCCTACGTCCCTACTACTTGCCTCGTACTTCCCTCCTACAACCCTCTCGTCTTCTCTCTGCCTGCTTGTCTCATCGTCCTCCTTGTCTTTTTCTCCTTTCCTTTCTCCTTCTGCCATCTTCAAGTCTTGTTCACTTGCCTTGAGGGTAATCGAAGGATTCATGCAGTAGACATGCAGCGGATTCAACTTCTTATCCCGCGGGCTCTTTGAGCGTGAAGGTAAGCCAGTCTCAAGGAGAAGAGTGAAGAGAGGGAAAAGAAGGAAAGGAAGGCACCAGCAAAGGTATGAGAGAAGAATCAGAGATGGAGATGGAGATGGACACTGACTGACTGACTGACTGACTGACTGATTGACTGACTGACTGACTGACTGACTGACTGACTGACTGACTGACTGACTGACTGACTGACTGACTGACTGACTGACTGACTGACTGACTGACTGACTGACTGACTGACTGACTGACTGACTGACTGACTGACTGACTGACTGACTGACTGACTGACTGACTGACTGACTAAGACAGAGATAGAAACAGAGATAGAATATCGACAAGTGCGAACAAGTTTCACCTGCATCATCTCGAGGCAAACTTCATCAAGAAGCTCATCTTTGTCCACCAAACAAACCCGTGAGCAAACTGAAACAAGCATCTGCAGAGTCATCACCCAGCAAGCTCAGCGAAGGAGTAGGGTCGACGATGCCACATTCCTCAATCATCTTCTGATATGACGAGCTTGTTGTCTTCAAGACCATCCTCATCGCAGGTGAGACGACCGAGGGCCATGCCACGTCCTGCTCCTCGCTCCCCTGAAAAAGAGCGACTAACTTCTCGACTTCAGTCTGCTCCTCTTGCTTCATGGACTGATCAGAATCCGAGTCCGACCGGTTTAAGTCAAGAAAACCCTCGTCCTCTCTTCCTCCTCCTGGTTTCACAGGCAACTTCCTCCTACTCCTCGTCCGCCTCCACCATCTCTGCAAGAAAACAGTCGACTTGAACAATTTGTCCAGCCTGCTCGAGTCCCTGAACTCTCTTGTCTCTACCAGATCCTCTCTGATCTGTTTGCTCTCGGCCAGCTGCGCAGGGACGTTAGCAACAACATCGCAGGCACCCGAGGTCTCACGAGAGCTTCAAGCTTCTCCTCGGCGATCAGCTTCTCTGCTACCTGGAATGCTGCGGGTGCTGATCAGCATGGCTGTCCTCTCGCTCTCTGCACACCTTGTCTCCCCGCCATGATCGCCTCCAGCACGACTTTCTTGGTGCGCTCCAACACGGCCACGTCGTCCTGCTCATGAAAGAGCCACTGTGTCTGCGAGGCTGCGATCAGGAGGAGACAGGAAGGAGCTGAGGTACCGTGAACACCAACTGGTCGTTGACGAACTCGACAAGGGACTCTGGCTGGAACTGGTCAACGAAACTGGCGTCCAAGTCCTTAGCCGACAGGACTTGGTTGAGGTCGAAGAAAGGTTTCCCTGTAGAGCCAGTCCCATGCTTCTTGCCGTGGGACCATTCCCCGAAATAGCACTGATATATCAGAGTCTGCGGACATTCCTTGACTTTTGATCGCATTCAAGTCGGCGGATTAGGCTTTAGGATGAACTACAAGACATTTCGCAGCATGAATTATCATCAGTCTTGGTTAAAGTTCCAAATTAGACCAAAGAACGTGCATCTAATACAGAAGCATACTGTCCAATCTACAACTTATCTTACACTTCAATTCGAAGCCTGAAAGTCTTTTATAACGTCTGACATCGCTATCACTTGACCAGGTGTGTTGAGGATTTGGACTTTACAAACTACTTTATCATATCTTTCCTGTTTGTAGATTTTGCTTTGATTCACAGGTTTATTGTTGCAGATGAAATCGATTTGACATATTCGCTCCTGATTGTCTCAGGTCTGTGAACGAACCGGCAATGCTTCTGTACACAGTGTAACATCGGTATACGACGAAGATTTCTCCAACAACCCCTTCTCGCAAAGCTCACTTGTAGCCGCAGTTGGACTTCTAGGCGACGTTATTGTTTCTATGACTTCGCCCTTGCCTTTGAGCGCTGCTTGCCGCTTCTGAACTGCCGCAGACACGTTGGCAAGAAGTATTGCTCCATCGGCAAGCACTTGGATCCTCTGAGAGGATAGGACTCCTCCACGACTATCCAGCAAGGAGCGACGTTGCAAGCGACAGGCGTTGGCGTCCATGTAAGCCAGCTGACTGGGACTGAGAGTGAGCCTTGGAGATGGAGGATGGGGACGCCGAGTCGCAGGCATACTTGATCGAAACTTGGACGAAGCTAACAGAGGGACCGATGCTGATCGCAAGAGGAGCAAGGGAAGGAGGAGGGAAGGAGGAGGGAAGGAGGAGGAGTGTTGGGAGTCGGGAGACTTTCAGGTCACGAGGAGAGGAATGATTTGTATGGGGGATGAAGGGTTTGCTCTCTGGCTAGGGTTACGGGGGAATGGTACGAAGAAGGCTTATCGGTCACGAGGTCAGGTCTCGTGACTTCAGCCCTCTCAACAGCTTACAGTGCGGCTCCTTCCTACCCCACCCCCTCCTCGTCCTTCACCTCAGGACTCTCCCTTACCCAGGGGGTACGTGAACACCGTGACTCCAGCCGGTCAAACTGTGCCAGTGACTTGAAGCCTGTATCACTCAGTGAGTGACTGAGGCCCTTGACTGAGTTAAGTTAACCGTGACGGTCGGCACTGCAAGAGACCCTCACAGCTTCTTCAGTGTGACCGCCAGGTGAGCTCGTGGGCCAGACCAGTGAGTGTCCACGTGATACCTGATCCCCCTTACAGCCTGAGTTCAAAGTCACACTGTGTACACACTGTCACAAGTTCAGTTCAAAGTATTAAAATCTAAAAAAAAATCTAGAACGAGGCCCGTGACAATCACTGTCAGGATGGGCCCCCGGCGTCCGCTGTGACGGCGTTTGACCCTTTCACATTGAAACGTGGCACCGTTGAATTCAATGTGAGTGGCAAGAGGATTCCGATGGCCGATCGGATGCAGTGCCATAATCATGACCGTACCCGGGCCGGGGGCGCCGGGTACGGTCACTAGTACCGTAGTAACTTGGCCGGCTACCCGGGCCCGATCTGACAGAAAGCCGGGCCGGGCTCGGACGACCGTGACTGTCGGACTGAGAGTCCGGAGTCCGATCAGCCGGAGGCTTCCGAGGCCGGGCCGTGCCAGACTGAGTGACCGACACCGGGGACCTGAACTCAGTTGGCTCACAGATCATCGGATCGGACTCCCAGGCTCCCGGACCGTTGGCCCTGGACGGAGGATGCGGCCCTTGTCAAACAATAATGAAGGGGGGGACGATGATGTCGGATGGAGTCAAGGGCATGCGAGGAACTTAGAGGCGCTCGCCCGCCGCCCTTTCAGACCTCTAGCCTTCCACTAGATGGCAGAGGAGAGCCATGCATGGACGGTCGATGCCGTAAGAGGAGGAGGAGGAGGAGGAGGAGGCGAAGGAGGGGGAGTAAGAAATCTTGTTATGGTCCATGACATGGCATCCGCAGGCTTCCTGTCCGTTGGAAGAGATCGTCTACTCTCCTCCTTGCAAGTATGTCGGTCAGCTCCACCCGCAAACGAGGATGTGGCATGGTCATGGAAAGAGCGTCAACAGCGACAGCAGACAGACGGTGAGGAAGTGATCGCCGACCTTCTTGTCTTTTTGATCCGATCCGATCTAACCTGACCTGACCTGACCTGACCTGACCTGACTTGATCTGATCTGATCTGATCTGATCTGATCTGATCTGTTTGTTTGATCTGTTCTTGTTTTCTCAGATCTATGGCCGTTGGTCAGACGGAGTTCTAGTTGGTCCTGCTGTGATGGTGGACTCAACGGAGACGGCGTCCTCCGAAGGATTCAGGACGCGAGTCCTCTGCATTGAGATGGGGGGTCAGCACGCGCAAGGACTTGGAGTTGAGATGGTAGAGGTAGGAAAGTGCGAGGAGGTGGCAGGGAAAGGAAGTGTAGCAGAAGGGAAGTGCTATTTCGGGGAATGGTCCCACGGCAAGAAGCATGGGACTGGCTCTACAGGGAAACCTTTCTTCGACCTCAACCAAGTCCTGTCGGCTAAGGACTTGGACGCCAGTTTCGTTGACCAGTTCCAGCCAGAGTCCCTTGTCGAGTTCGTCAACGACCAGTTGGTGTTCACGGTACCTCAGCTCCTTCCTGTCTCCTCCTGATCGCAGCCTCGCAGACACAGTGGCTCTTTCATGAGCAGGACGACGTGGCCGTGTTGGAGCGCACCAAGAAAGTCGTGCTGGAGGCGATCATGGCGGGGAGACAAGGTGTGCAGAGAGCGAGAGGACAGCCATGCTGATCAGCACCCGCAGCATTCCAGGTAGCAGAGAAGCTGATCGCCGAGGAGAAGCTTGAAGCTCTCGTGAGACCTCGGGTGCCTGCGATGTTGTTGCTAACGTCCCTGCGCAGCTGGCCGAGAGCAAGCAGATCAGAGAGGATCTGGTAGAGACAAGAAAGTAAGCACTTGGATCCTCTGAGAGGATAGGACTCCTCCACGACTATCCAGCAAGGAGCGACGTTGCAAGCGACAGGCGTTGGCGTCCATGTAAGCCAACTGACTGGGACTGAGAGTGAGCCTTGGAGATGGAGGATGGGGACGCCGAGTCGCAGGCAGCAGCTGGACACACTAAACCGCATCTGGGACTCAGCTGGGACTTGTAAGTTGAGAGATTGTGACTGACCGAGCTGGGAACAACGCTACAAGAATGATTAGGGTTTGTTTCCGTAGCATTTCATTATCATACATATTGAACAAGTCTCAGCAAAGGGCTGTGGGCTTCCATGTTCTTGTCCCTTGTTGACAAAATTAAGAGCAATTTGGGGAGAGAACAAGGGGAGGAGGAGCAGAGAAAAGAGAGGGGGGGGAGAGGAACGTAGAGGGAAGGGGAAGAAGAGCATATTGGAAGAGAGGGGTAGGAGATGAATCTGAGATGGAGCAGAAGAATCACCGAGTTGCTGCTTCATGATGTTGGCCAGAGCTCGTCCGCTATGCTCTCTTGCCTTCCACGTCCCGTAGATTCCCAGGGACCTTTCCCTCCCGTCAGACGACGGCAAACGCTCTCTTGCCTTACCTCTGCCCTGCAGTGATGGTCGGATAGCCACTGAATCTGCTCATTTCAATCCATCAAAGAGGTTTGGGAGGAGGAAGCAACAAGGACGTAGGACGAGAGGAAAAAGGGCGGAAAGTAGGAGGTAAGGAGGAGGAGGAGGCGAAGAAGGTGTGGAAGGAGGACAAGAGAAAGGTTTACCCTTGCGTCGGCTGGACGCGTCTGTGCGCGAGCTTCCAAGCTTCATGTGCGTTGCTGAGGAGGATCAAACAAGGAGGAGGCGACGAAAGATCTCACGGGACTGACGCAGCCTCCCAGAATCGCTGAGTGACGGATCCATGGACAGAGATAGGAGGCGATCTGCACGAGCATCAGCAGCAGCAGGCGGCACGTGAGCGGGAAGGTGAACCTGCTCCTCTCGTTTAGCGTCATCGCGTACGAAGAGCTGCGATCCAGTGCCATATCTTGGGCCATGTCATCCAACAGCAGCAAGAAGGAGAGGAAGAACCAGGAGGAGGAGGAGGAATTGAGAAGAGCACGAGGAGGAGGAGGAGGAGGAGGAGGAGGAGGAGGAGGAGGAGGAGGAGGAGGAGGAGGAGGAGGAGGAGGAGGAGGAGGAGGAATCAAGAGGAGGAGGAGGAATCATGTGAAGGAGCCATGCTCACCTTGACTGGCCATCGTCAAACCCGGGCGCCAAGTTTGAGCTGGGAAGAGCATCAACAAAGGTGGGCCTCAGCTGGAAAAAGCAGTTCAGTCACCTCCACTCCTGAGGAAGGAGGAGCTGAGGGATCGGGTGGTCGGCTTCCAGCTCCTCTGAGTTGCCATCGTTTGCAGCAGCCTCTTGGTCTCGTGCTGATTCTTCAGGACGTCGCGAGTGGTGAGCGGCGGCAGGTCGCCCTGCACCATGACGTCACCATGCCAAGACCGCGCAAGTTCTCCTGCTTCTCGACCTCCAGACTGTCTGCGCTCTCCATGGGAGGAGGCGTCGGAGCTCGCATGAGCTCGTGCAGCAGATCGACAAGTGCCGGCCTGGGACGTCGGGGAGACTCAGAGCTGGAGAGCAGCAAGAGCAGAGGACGGGACCTCTTCTGAATGGCCTGAAAGCCCTCGATGGAGGAGGTGAGATTGCTGGAGATTGTGTCAAGGAGGAGGGAAGACAAGGAGGAGAATAGGTACCCGATCAAGCAGGTGATGAACTCTGTATCCTCGTCCTTCAAGGGCGACCGCAGCTTCTGCTCAACGAACCGGAACATCGCTTCATTCTCTTCCTCCATCACTCGCACTAGCGACTGACGGCAAGTCACTTCAACGAAACATCTTCCCTCTACTGACTGGATGAGTCGAAGAGCGAGACGAGACGTTTGCCAGCGATCGCATCGCTGCCTTCTTCGCCTCTGTTCCTGCCACTGCATGATACACAAGCGATCGGAGAAACCCTGATAGTAACAGTCACCCTCCTCCTCCTTCTCCGCTTCCTCCTCCTCCTCCTCCTCCTCCTCCTCCTCAAGCACCCGGTCGATGGAGAGCGTCGAGGTAATGAGCTATAGGAGCACTTTGAACCTCCTCGGAGGTCTTGCATGTCATGGTCTCATGTATGGAGCAGAGGCGGGCGACAATTGCTGAGGTCGGCGCGTCAGTTTCTGAGGTCTCAAGGTCGCGAGGCAGTCTCGAACCGCAAGCGAGTCTCGTCGTCTGAGCAGATGGGACGCGGAGCTGCAGGTTCAACTTCGGCACGTCCGATCGCAGTGAAGAGACGCTCGACTCCCTGAGGTTTGACGCGATAGAGTTGGTCGACTTCTTCTTCATGAACCTTCTGTTCATAGACGAGGCTGAGGTCAAGGGAGCGAGGAAAAAAAGACGTCAGAAGCAGCAGGGGTCATCCGGCAGAGCTGACCGTTATCCAGCGAGAGGTTTCTCATGACCGGGGGCAGCGACATGTCCAAGATGTCGATCAACATGGCGAAGTTGGACGGAAGCAACAAGAACTGCTCCAACGTCATCCACTTTGAGGCATATCACTCAAGACTCACTTGCTCCATCGCCTGCCCTCTGGCCTGAAGATTCAAAGGTAAGGCTCGCAGAGAGACATCACGTTGACATACAGCAAAGATTCGCAGCAGGACTTCTAAACACATCTCCGCCACTGAGTCCGCCTGTCACAGGACCGTTAGACCTCTCCCAGACCTTCACTGCTCTGCTCTTCTACCGGAGTACTCAAAAACTGAATCAAGCCTGCAGGCGTGAACAGGTTCACCTCATTCACGACAGCTTCGCTACCCATTTGCTGACACAAGCATCACTACCTCCCTTTGATTTAACTCACAAGGCACCATGGCGTAACTGCTGACCTTCACTACCCGGAGAATCAGAGCCAGACATTTTTCATCTCGATCTGTTTGTGTGTTGTCACCTTCTGTAGCCCAGAAATTTGTTCGAGATGCTGTCAACGAGAGTGAGTATGAGCGAAGGAACACTTTGACTAGCTCAAGTTCGTCTCTACTCACCATCTGTCCTTGGGCTCTTGACACTCGTGCTACCTAAGGACGACAGTCTTGAGACACTTGGGGCTGCCTTGCCAATCGACTTCCTGTTTGGGTCTTGCAACAGGATCCTCAAAGCCTGCATGGCCTAAGCAGCCAGTATCCAGAAACAGAGAGTGTTACCGAGTATTTCCTTCTCTTGAGGGCTGCCCACAGGATATGTGGTTGTTCTTCGGTCAGGAACAAGATCGCGCTTATGACATCATCACGGAAGGACGGAGGGACTGTCGCGTCGTCACGAGGTTCCTCTCTCTACCCTCCTCACCGTATCCTTCGTTGGAGATACCCAACAGACCGCAGAGGAGGTCGATCGCTGTGCCTCGAGGGCCCAGGTGAACTTTCTTGATGGGCACCTGCTGGGAGAGAACGTGGGCTCGATGACACGAAGACGTGCCGGCAAAGTCGAGGAGGAGCCGCAGGTTGATCAGCAGAGTCTCAGTGTGCTGATGGTTACATTCTGCAACATCGAAGGCTCACAGACGTCCGAGGTGAGGGGAGAGGGAGGAACTTCTCAGACGTCAGGTGAGGGGAGAGGGAGGAGGCTCACCGTCTCTCCGTAGGACCAGCAACGCAACCATCGCTGCCGCTGCCTCTCCTATCGCTTCCTCCCCGCTGTCTCTTGCCTGCCCTCCTTCTGCTTCCCCTACAACCATTTTCAACCGCCTTGTCAAACGGCGTGAATAACCGTCAAGTCATTCTTGTTTGTAGAATTTCAAGTTCTTCAGGAGCGTTTCAGTAACTTTGAGCCGCTTGAAGCGGCGGGCCCTGGCCCGGAGTAGACGGTGGACCGCCGCAATGGAGGACGTTGTAAGTACCAAGTAAAGGTATGAGGGTATGAGAAGGCTAGAAGTTTTATACAAAAGAATCAATTCGACGCGTAGTTCATGACGTTGTTCACTCGTTGCAACGTCCCGTCCATCCTACTTTCCTCGCTCTGAATACGATCAACCTGACGTTGAAAATTCGGTGCAAATACACAAAAAGTCGTCTCGCTCACCTTCTTGGCTAGTTGCCTCAGCATCGCCTGCATGGAAGAACGTCTGCTATCCCTGAAACAGCAAGCATGACTACACCCTTCAGTTTCCTGCCTGACTATCTCACCCGGACACGTCTTCGTCACTCCTCCCAGATTCGTTGTCTCGCGCATCTCGCTTACGGAATTGCGCTGCATCTCTCTGAAACAAAGCTGGAGGAGGGGGTCAAGGATCGCAAGCATGAGATCTCAAGATTACGGCTCTGTTCTGCTGCCAACAATCCTTTGCGGAGCCGTGAGGATTCCTTGCTATCTCCATACGTCTGGCAATCACGTCATCATGCGTCCAGCAACAAGACATGCATCTCGACTCGCACACGTCAAGCATGAAATATGGACAAGTTTTCATGGTGACCCACCTGTCTCAAAACTTCTGGAACTTCGGTCTTGAAAGGTGACAGCTTGTTCCTCAGACGCCTCAACGTCGACCCGTACCTGATTGGGCCAGTCAAATCGCACGCGATTACAGGAAACACGGTACGGAATCTTGACTGCAACATCCGACGGATACCCAGGCTTGGGGATCAGATAGTCCGGATGCAGGAGGTCCCACTCTCTGACATTTTGGCGTCAGTGTGAATCAAGTAGCTGCTGCAGAACAAGGTCGAGGCGACAACTCACTGCTTGCAGGTAAGTGTTCCATCAAGTACCAAACCCTTTTGCTGCCATAGCACTCACTTACTCCGAATCTCCAATAAACATCCTCACCTTGTCAGGCCCAAAAAATTCTAGCAACTGCCTCAGCATCGCCTCGGTCCTCGCATCGCCCGCATACACAGGAAGTCCCTCCAAAAACGTTCCCTTGGCCGTCACCCGCAGGTGCCTGTACAACTCTCCTCATCAACACTGGAATGACCATTAAAGTAATGAGATTACAGTGGTTTAGTGTTGCAGCCGTTAAGGTCCTTCGGCTCAGCGTTTCTCTCCGGCACAACTTCTTGGACGTCACTGTGCAGAGGCTCATTGAGTAGAAGCATCGCAGGGCATTCATCGCTTACGGCTCATCCTTGTCAACTCTGGTCACAGTGATCACCCCCGAGTAGTAGACACCGTCCTTCATCCCTCCGACAGGAACCTGAGAGAAGGTTGACTACACAGAGCCATGATCAGATCAGACCCACCTCGCACGGGCAAGATGCAAGCTGAGAAAATCCCTTTTGAGTGAAGCCGGTACTGCCATACATGGTTGACTTTGGCCGTAAGCATACAGAAACAAAACTCACCTGTGGCACTGCTTGCATTGCATGTGCTTCCCGACGCTGAGCAACATCGGACCATTTGCTGTATTGATTTTCATTTTCCCTCCAAGCTTGATCTCCACCAACTGAGAACAAAATCGGTCAGAGAGCCCTGACATTGCTCGCACAACATTCAACACCAGATCTGGCAGGTTCGAGCTGGACCGCTCAACGACAGCTATGTATGCGAAGGCCACGAAGAACTGCACTCTTGTCATGAGCGAGAAGAAAAAAGTTTAAACTCTACCAGCAGTGATGAGCTTGCCAGGGTGACGACAGACATAACCTGTTTGTGCTCTTGTCAGTGAAGTAAAGACATCTCAGCTATGAAATCTGAAAGGTCGCCTGTGCACCGCACAATCGTCTCATCAGAGCACTTTCGTTTTCTTGTAGGACGCACAAATATGGCTTTTCCCTTTCAGTTCTCCACATTGTCTCTTCTGCTCCTCTGCTGCTTCTTTGTCATTGTATTGCATTAACCTTCTCTCTACCTCCCTTCTCTCCTCCCTCCCTTCGCCTCTGCGTCCTTACCGGCTGCCGACCATCTCCAGCCATGCTGACCCTTCGCTCTCAAACCGTTACTCAAGATCAGCTCTGATGTAACTGTCACTTGCCACCGTCACTGTTGAGACCGTACCGTCCGACGGTGACAGTGGCCCGGCCGGCGGCCCGGTGTCGGACTCGGCCCGAGCGCCCGGCCCGGCACGCCACCCGGCCGGGCCGTCGGACTCGGCCCCCGGCACTACGCTACTAGCTACCGTACACCATTACTATACGTGTGATCCAGCGGTGGTGACCGTGCAGTGCCTTGCCGAAGTTGAGCATCCGATGATCCGCTCACTGTGTAGACCGTGCGTCTGCATACCGGGGCCTAAAGCAGGCTTCGCCCGGCGGGCCGGGATAGCAGTCGGCCCGGCCCCGCGGCCGACTCCGCCGCGCGGACTGAGTTTGTCCGGGCCCTTGAAGCCCGGCGCGCCGCACTCCGGCGAGCAGCACTGGACGGCCCCCGGCGGCACTGCGGCACCGCGGGGGTGCCGCACGCACTGCGGCAGCCTGAGCGGCCGGCCCGGGGCCCCGGCTTGGGCTGTCCAATCGCGGCGCACTGCGGCAGGCCGGGCCCGGGCGCCCGGCGCGCCCGGCCGTACTACTTAGTATGGCATACCGGGGCCCGGGCGCCGCGCGGCGAGACTCAGTGACTCGGAAGCCTGCCAGGCTGAGAAAAGACAGCGAGAGCCTACCCGGGCCTCACCCGCCGGGCCGGGCCGCGGGCCGGGCCCGGGGCGCGCGGCCGCGGCGAGCCCACGGTGAGGCTCTGCCGTGATCCGCCGGGGACTCGACTCGTCACTGAGTGCCAGTGACGGACTGGGGCTCGGACCGCCGCACGGCCGGCCGGGCGGTGCCAGTCGCGGCCGTCAGGCTCCGAGGCTCAGTAACCCCGGCGCCCGGGCCGCGCCACGGCGCGGCACACGCCGGGTGAGCCTCGGAAGTCAGTTCAATCTAGGCTGAGTAAAATAACTTAAATTAGTCACTAGCGGGCCCCTTATTAGCCGCTAATAAGTGTACTATCAACTAAAAACTTGCTCACAGCGGCGGCGGCCCTACAACATAGAGCCTCGGACTCATGGGGGGGGATGATTGCAGAGGGAAGGGCAGATTTCAAAAAGTTGAATGAAACCAATGAATTGACTTTTTACTATTCGGCGAGTCACTAGTACAAAACTTCACTATTTCAATTTCACTATTGACAGTCACCGTGCCGGATAACCTCCCCCACCTGAACTCTTGCCCTGTTGAATGATCGCCCTTCATCAACAGTTCAGCGCAACATAACGGGATGCCTACCTTGTGATGCTGGCGAGGAGTGAAGGAGAGAGCTTGAAGACAATGCTGAGCAAGTTTTTGCTGATGGTGGTGCTTGTAAGCTCCGTATGCCCGCAGTCAGAGGCCGCGGACTGTAAAACCTGCACATTTCGCAATTCGGATGGTGTGTTGGTGCGGGAGGGCATTTGTAGCGGTGACTGTGGGATTGATGTTGTATGGGTGTATGGTAGGAAGAGTTTGCGCTTGAATTCCCTGGTACCACCCTTGCGGTACATAGCGAACAGTTCCGTCTTCGATGGGCTCTACAGCTTGGAGGACCTCCTCCTCCAGCACAACGACCTTCAGAGTCTACCTGTTGGTGTCTTCGACGGGCTCTCAGGCTTGCAGAATCTATATATTGGAGTCAACAGTCTCAAGAGTGTGCCAGTAGGAATCTTTAGTCAGCTCTCGACTTTGCAGCAACTTTCGCTTGCCATTAACAAACTGCCAAGTCTTCCTGATGGATTATTCGACGGGCTCTCAAGCTTACAGATCCTAAACCTTCGAGACAACGAGATCTCCTGCATTTCTTCTCAGGCTTTCGCTAATCTAACTTCGCTTTCCACTTTGTATCTTACAGGCAACAACCTGACGTGCTATCATACGTCTTGGCCAAAGTTCGCTCAATTAGATGCGAATCTGGAACCGTGCCAAAACGAAACTCATTGCGACGAAAACGGACAAATCTCTTCTCTCGGAATCAATTTCGAAGCAACAACTATCCCACTGGCACAGCAAAATTGGACGGTTTACCCTGACTACCTCACTTGCCAAATACAGCATGGTTGGCAGGAGATCGTGGATGATGAGCCTGCGCTAAACAATACCATCAAGACCGGTGGACTCGGGAAGCAGATGGTGGTAGGCCGGTTCGAAGTGTGGGTATGCAGCTACCAAGATCATTGTGCGAGGCCTGGGAATGCTTTCTGCTACGTGTATGACGAGCATGAGGAGACCTTCGTTCCCTGGTGATGTGTCTGCTTCAGTGTCACCTATTTTGTCCGGGCTGATGCTTTTCCAGGGGCCTAGAAGATGAACTTATGCTAAGCTAAGTGGACTTCGCCGCCGGTGTCACAGTGCGGCGGTGCCGACGGAATACGTGAGGCCGCGCTCTGAGTCGGATCGGCTGAGACGGACCATCGACACTCAGGCTTATCTGAGAGATTCAAGCCTTGAAGATTCAACCGAGATTACTAAAAGGCACCGTTGAAGTGGAGACCTAGAGTATCCACAGTGATAAGTTTCAATCCGTTGAAGCAACTCAGGGTGGCCGTTTTGAATTTCGCGGCCGGGTTGTAACTTCTAGCCTGTCCATCCAGCCTTAACACGCCGGGTCCGATCGGTTTTGGCATTTGGCCTCAACTGTTCTGTGACTCAGGATACTGGTCCGGACGGTTTATTGCTGATAGCCGGCGGCGCCGCTGGCTGCCGCCGCGCCGCTGGCGGTCACTCAAAGTTCCGGCGCCCGGCCGCCGGGCCGCGTTTCGGCACGGTGCCATGGCCCGCGGGCCGGTCACCGTCCGATCACCCGGGCCGGGTTGAACTTGATGGCCCGCGGCAGTGACCGTCCGACTCACTGGCCCCCGGGCCGGGCCCGCCACTCAGTCACCCGACTACCGGCGTACACGCCGGTACCGCCGTATCGTACGGTACCGTACCGTACCGTGGCTAGTACCGGCGGCGGTCTCAGTGGCCGGTGACTGAGTGATTGGCATACGAGCCGGGCTGCAGGCTGTGAGCTCTCTTTCTTTACTCAAAGTTAAGTGAGCGGCCATCATCCGATGATCGCCGGACGCTGAGTAACCGATATCAATATCGGTAACGGAAGGCAGATTTCCTCTGATTGTCCTCGTACCGATTTTTAACTTAACTTTGAGTAAAGATAGGTCTTGGTTTTGGGACCCCATGGAACCTGCAACCCATTACTACCCCCTCCATCCTTCATTTCCTACAATCGCCTTGCGCCCTACCCTCCTCATTACACACTACTACCCCAGAACATGACCTGGTTGATACTACAAGGGTGACCCCACCCCTACAGACCCTACCCTTCGACTTTTCACCCCTACTACCCGTGCTGTTCGATCCCAATTTTCGATTTGATTCCAACATGGCAAAAGAGACGCGGCTTTCGTTCTCCGGGGTTGAGGGGCGCATGCGGTATCGTTCGATCGCTAGAGCCATGCTTGAGCGTGCACAAGATGCCTTTTCACATGGCAAGATACTTGATACTTGCGCAAAAGTAGCTGCAGAGCTAAACGCAACGGATTTGTTCAAAGAGAACGGAGTTGGGAAGTTACAACCTTACACCCTTCAGAACAAGTGGAGGCAAATCATAAATGATGCCCTTGTCTTCTCTGACCAGATACAGAGAGGAAGAGTCGTGGACAATTGGGGTGAATGGGAGCATATTCTAGATCAAATAGCGCGCGAGAAACAGAAATATGACAAGAGTAAAGGAAACAGGCCTGAACACCGAAGACGAGAATTTCTTCATCATCTCTTTTCTGGGCAGGCTGGAGGACTACCTTCACCTCCAAAGATATCAGGTCAGGAGGTTCTGATATGCTCTTCTCTTGTTTTTGAGAGGCTTCAACTGTTTCCTTTCATGGATATGCTCACACCTTCCATGCAGGCAACGCCAGTCAAACCTCGGGAAACCTAACTGCACGCGCTCAGGGCAACTCTGAGTTCCATTCGATTCAGTTCGAAGGTTTTGGGGACGGAGTGGAAGGAAGAGGTCTGAGGAAAACTCCAAGTGAACATCTCGAAGGAGCGCTGGCGTTGAAACGAATGAAACTTTCTGGCGAACAGGGTACAGTAGACGCCATGGTTGATAGTGACAACCCCAAGATTCAGACGCTTCAGGAGTATACTCTGTTGCAGAATCAGTACATTGACTTTGTGAAAGCCATGAAGGATTGCGCAGACGAGGACGACAGGGAATTCATGGCTGCGCAGAAGAAGAAGATCAAGGGGATGTTGCAAAGTTTGCAGTCAAAAGTGGAGGGACTGTATGAAAACGAGCACTCATGATGATGGAGGGTTGTATGAGCAAAATTCTGAACATGATGGTTTGAGGGGTGAGACTATTGAAAGGCCTCGACTTGACGTGCAATCGGAAGTTTACTGAAGGTGTCGAAGAGGATTCGACCTCTGAAGCACCGGGCAGACTTGTGACCCTGTGAGTCATCGGCCATCACCTTGTTGTGCATGTTTCAGCTGTAAAATACTATCTAATACATAGAAGATATTATGTAATTCAAATTGCCTCCTCTGTAATTTCTCATCTTGAAAGCTCGTCTCAATATTTGAACTCTCACTTCGATCGTTCCATGTCTACATTGCACCATAAAAAAAGAGCCCTACAATGTAGTTCATCTCACTCGGATTCTAGATAATATTTTCCAACTGCGGTGAAATACTCTATCCGACATCAGCATTGACCCGCATCCGCGTTTGCTTTCAATGCTGTCCTTGCCGATGCTTCAGCAATTTGCAGATTCTTCCTCCTGCCCCTTCTGCTCGTTCCCTCCCCCTCCCTTTCTCGCTCCCCCTTCCTACCTCTTCACCATCAAACCGCTACAAGACTGCCCGACAAGACGAGTTGCGGATATGGGAAACGATTTGATCCTAGGAGGGTGGGTCCATAAATTTAATTGTGAGGGTACTTTTAAGCTCAAAATTGTGGGTGGAGGTAGTGTGTTGATGGGCGGGCTGGGTAGGGTTGTGCCGGGCAGGGGGGGCGGGATGGTAGGTCGGGTGTCGCTGAACGAAGAGCGAAGATGCTTGACATGTGCGAGCGAACGAGGTGAGAAGGATCTAGATATGATGCTGGTGATGCTGGTGATGATGGCGCAAATGTTGAAGATCTAAATGTAAATGTTGATGTTGATGTGAATGTGAATGTGCGTAAACACGGCGTAATCAGTGCAATGTTGGAGTGAACACACGAAAGTGCACTGTCGGCTGAGCAGTAATACATATTGTCCGCACATATGTACTGCCATTACGAATGGAATCTAAATTCTTCAGTGATGTATGAGGTGTGCCAAAACTTTCAACCGTGCAGACATGTGTCGCAACTTCAGATGTTGCAAAGTTTCAGTCACGCTCCTTCTGGATGAATATTCACGTGTACATCATGACCTGCGTGAATTATGCAAATGGGTTCTTTTTCTTGGTTGAATCAGCATTATGCTTACATTCATGCGTATCAATCTTTTGCCTTGCGTTTCCCTCGGGTTTGAAAGTGCTTAAATTTGAACGTGCTCATATTTTTGGTCAATTTGTGCTTCCTGCATTCATAACGAGGAATAGATCACTGAAACTTGATGTCAGGCTATGGGATATATCTCTCTGTTCCACTTGAGCGTTACTGTTGGAGATCATTCGCAGGAGGAGGCTTCTCCTTCGCTGAGCTCTTCGGGCAGTCGCGGGTGCTGGCGCTGGTGGGAGGAAGGTGCTTGCTTGATGCCTGCAAGGTTCTCGACTCTGACGAGGAAGATGATGTGTAGGCCCTCGCCGTGCGGCTTCTCGGAATCTTCCATCGTCTTGTGGGATGACGAGTCAAGCCGGCGGCTATGGGAGCTCAAGTTGTTCAGCCCCATCGTAGGCGTCATCACGCGGAGAGGGTTCCTCGCTGCGGTGCTGGAGAACAAGCTGGTCTTGTATAGGATAGCGCATGACTTCTCCTGGGTGAGGCTAGAGCGAAGTCTCGAAACCCTCGCCAACCCCTCGGGCATATGCACCATGAGCAGCCCTACGACCCTCAGCGCTTCCTCGGTGGTGGACAAGAACATCCCATGGCTGGTTGCTGCTTTCCCAAGCCTCAAGGAGGGAGGCATACGCCTTGCTCTCCGCAAGATGGACAAGGGGGGTGAGGGCGAAGTTTCTCTTCCTGCTTCCAGAGGCTCCAGGCCCGAGGAGGACAGATGGTTTGTTGTCACGCACGATGACGCCCACAAACATCCCATCGCTCACCTCGCGCTCAACCGAGACGGAAGTTACCTGGCATCTGCTTCACGGAGCGGCGAACTCATACGCTTGTGGGGAACTCAGCAAGGAACTTCGCTGGTGCTCATGCGAGAGCTGAGGCGAGGGTCTACCGCAGCTGCGATCTACTCCATCTCTTTTAGTGCCAAGTAGGAAACCCCCTTTCCACTCCTGCTGCTTTTTCTGCCTGGCATGAGAATGTTCTCGCAGGTCTGACATTCTGTGCTGCTCGAGCGACTCTGGGACGGTTCATCTCTTCTCCCTCCAACCTGCTCAGAGCTCTTTGCATGCTCGCAGCAACTCGTATCTAATGCAGGTCAATCGCTCCCGTCCCCTTGTGCCTCCTGACTGGTTCCTCGCAGGCCGTGAACTCTGTGCAAAGTGGACAGAGAGGTTTTGCACAGGTGGCGTATCTTGTACTAGGATTTTCACCTGTTTGCTGACCTTTTTGTTGCACTTCAGACGGAGATGAAGACAGGAGGAGCTCCAGTGCTCTGCGGGATCGGGAACTTCACGATAGAGAGGAGGCGCAGAAACGTCGTGACGGAGAGACAGGAAGAGCGTCTCATCGTTGTGACGTCAACAGGAGAGGTAAGTTGTTGCGACCTCATCTATTCCCCTCATACCCACACGTACAGGTTTGCACCTGCCTCCTCCCGCCGTCGACGGATCGAGACGGTTTCTTCAAGTTTGACAGCAGGAGATCAATCAACTTCGGCACGGAGGATATCTTGAGGTTCGATCGCTGAATGATCTGAGGGGGGAGAGGAGCTGACTGGTGAAGGGCAGCGACGATGAGTTTGTATCGGATGAGAGCGACGACCAAGAAGATGATGATTGAAACTTTTCCCTCCTGCTCCTGCTCCTGCCCCTGCCCCTGCTCCTGCTCTTCTTCTTTCTCGCATCCACATATTGTTTTACCTTGACGTCTCCTTAGGACGAAGAGATTCACTTTGCTGTATTATATTCTGTCGAAAATTTACATTGAAACACCCACGTCCACAGACCCCCCACCCCAACTTTCTCCCTGAGCGCGATCGACATCGCACAGTTACTGTTGGAGCAGACGTTGCATGAAATCATCTGGAACTGCGAAGCCCTAAGGCAGCGAGGTCAGCAGCGGGGCGAGGAAGGGAAGGCAGCACCTGTTGTCTTGCTTCCATCAACCGCTCGATCATCGTCGCTCGCGCTTGCAACAGATCAGCCTTGGCTTTCGTCTCCTCCGCTGCCTGCAAATTTCGTTCAGCCCTCCACCTCCCCTCTGAGCTCCAAGCCTACAGCTCGCTTCTCTTCCGCCACAAGTTTGCGCTCTGCCATCGCTCTTGCTTCCTGCTGGGAGTCAGGGGGAAACCTGCCAGGCCGGCAGCTCTGCTCATCACCTCTCGGTCGAAGATGGAAGGAGGAAACGAGAGCGCGTCGTCCACCACTGGTCTCTTGGATCCACAAGGCGTCAACGGTGTCTGAAACACCTGCAGCTGTGTCATCATTTCTCGCCCCCCCTTGTCCTCCTGCACCTGGCGCATGGCGTCTTGACTCCGCTGACGCTGCTCTTCCCTACTCGGCCGTCCTCTAGCCGGCTCCTAACGGTGATACGTGAGGGGAAGCAGGAGAGACGAAGCTGCTTACGTGGCTCTGATGGTAGGCCTCCAACGCAACACACCTCCTCCATAGGCTGAAAAGAGGATCAAGACAGATAGAGCAAACGAGGATGTTGGACCCGTCCATCTCAGTCTCAGCAGGAGCCGGTTCTCCTGCCTCCATTCTCCGTCTCGACTCTTCCTATCCGCATGTGACCAACAGACAATGAGCGAGTCTGATTCAACCTTCCAGGCCTTGAGCCCTTCGTTAAACTTCTCCTTCGCTGTCCCGATCTGAATGCCGTACATCAAGAAACTGCAGTTTGCACACAGCGAAACCTTGAGAGCTCCTTTGCCGTGAATCTGAAAGATTTCCTGCTGGTTGAGACTTTCAACGAGGTCTGTCCATGCTTTCCCCTTGCCATCATGTCAGTGAACAAGTCAACCCCACCAGTCCAAGTCACTTGTTGGCCATGCTCGAATACTCTGCCATCGTGCGCTACTGCTCTCAAGATCTCCAGGAGCCTGAGAAGAGAAACAAGGGAGTCAGGGAAGGTCACAAGAACATGGTCGTGCTGTACACCTTCTCCGCCCTATCTCTCTTTCAAATCGCTGATCGAACTATCAGTCTACTGACACAGGCAACTCCACCCCCTCACCAGTCGCGGTTCAACCAGCTTCCCCCCAGGAGCATCCTGTCAATGACTTCAGCAAGACTTTAACACAAGCGTCCAATGTTCTTCTCACCATGGATCCCTGCACGTACGCTGGTTGCGACGGGCTCTGAACATACGTAGCTTGCTGCATGGAAGCAGATAGTTCGAAACTTCCAGTAGTATGAGGGCGATGAGTGAAAGGCCGGCAAAACCCCTTTTCAAACAATTAAATACAAATCGGCGGATTTCATTGCTGTGCGCGAAAATGCAAGGACGGGGAGATAGGAGGTGGGCGCGGCAGGAGAGAGGGAGGGAGGAGATCATGTGAGATGATACTGTCGATGAGAGAAACACTGAGCACGAGATGATCTGAAGTCTGACAAGGAGCCAGAGACATGCAGTCTGAAGAAGGTGACCTCGTTTGCTTCGACTGCAGCAACTGATGTTTGCCTTGAAAGGATCAGGTAGCACGCGAACCATTGGTGAAGCTCAGCTACTGTTCTGGGTTCAGGTTCGAAGACTTACGACAACTCGTAGCAAGTGACTCTCTTGCAGCGAATGATGGACTTGAAAGAGGAGCCTAGCGTCGACATGTTTCGAGACGGCTCTATGTTTCTCAGCATTCTACGTCGCATGCTGGGCGAAGACGTTGGTATGCGATGCCTCCTATCCCGTACCGATTGTTTACTGCAGGACAACATCATTCGCGCGCTTGAGGCAGGGGTCAGCTCTCCTGCCCGCACGCAAGAGCAGGTTCTGCAAAATCTGCTAATGATAGAGGCGATGCTGCGAGAGGAGATAGGACACGTCGATCAAGTCGAGGTGATGGAAGTCTATCAAGGAAGACGAGAAGCGATCGCCACTATCCTTCTTGCACTCTACCAGCTTTACTGCAAGAGATGCACCACTGAAGTGAAACGCGTTCGCGTGCGATCAAGAAAAGGTATCAAGCCGCATGATACCAGTATTAGCCGACAGGCGGAGCCGGCATGGGACGAGGCGGCAGAAGGGAGTGCACTGAGCTTACCGGCGAGTTTCGCATCCTCCCTTGGCTCTGACCAGACGCCTGCTAAGATTCTTGCTCATGCTCGCTGGTCGACGTCATGGCTTGCTGCATGCTCGCCAAAGTTTCAGAGGTCGTTTGTGATCGCGCGTGTTGCTCTGACTTGCCTCTTCTCAGGTCCTTATGTCCTCCTTCCATCATGACCCTGTGGGATCACGTGAAAGATGATGTTCACCGCGATCACTTCAACTTGCAGAGCATGCAGGGCAGTGACTTGCAAGCTGTGTGGGGGGAGGGCCGCTGGTTCTCCCGAGCCTGCATGTCGGCAGCTCTATACGCCGTCTTGCTTCACTCGCTCGGGGAAGATGTTGATGTCAGTGAGGCTGAAGATCGAGGAAAGCTGAGGCTCGTGGTCAACCACTTGCAGGCTTGCGGTGTCAAGGTTCGACTGCTCGTTTGCTCACTTGAGCGATTCCGCTAGCCTGACTGCCGGCCCCAGGTGAAGCTGGTCGCGCACGCCGACGTTGAGGAAGAAGAAGTATACAAGTCTGCGGGGGCTCATGCGGCGATCCTGGACGGAGTCGCGATGATTTTCATCCGATCGTTCCTGTCAGTCGAGCAGATCCACCAGCAAACGGTTTCACTGTGGAAGAATTTCACAGAGAACCACCCGCAGGAGGCGAGCAGGAGTGAATTTCGAGCTGAGAAACCTTTGGACCTTGAAGACGCGCTTGCCATGTGGATGTCTTGTGAATTGCAACTCTGCAGACATTCAAACCTCCCGGTAGTCCGCCAGCTGTTCGACCAGCTGTTCAACTCCAACACTTCGAGCACCGTTGAGGAGCTTCAGATGGACATCAGCGACGGCAAAGCTCTTCTTCTTGTCTTGTCGTCTCATGCTCCTGACCTGGTCACGTCGGCATTACCTTCTGACATGCTCGCAAGAGGTGAAGAGGAGGGAGGAGGAGCTGCCGGGCGGTCGACAAGGACCAAGTCTCTTCTTGTCCTTGCCTCCCTCAAGGTCTGTGCGAAGCTGCAGCTTCTGTCTAGCAGCGTCTTTGATAATGTGAACACGCATGCTCCTCCTCACCTGCATGTTCTCCTGCAAGCGCCAGACCTTGTGTTCGTCTCCTCCGCCATGAAGCCGCTGGTTCTTCTTTTCCTTTCGCTCCTCCATGTGAAGCTCTCGGGAAATCGACAGGCGGAGGGGAAGAATGAGTCAGCAGCAGGGCCCTCAGACAGCGGCAGAAAGACGCAAGATGAGCTTCTGCTAGGAAGCACTATCGGGGGATCGAACTTGGTCTTGCAGCCCCTGCAGATGTCAAACTCGTTGCGAACGCCGCACAAGCAGTTGACGTCTGCGATTGAGAGTGTCAGCAACAGCTCTCAGAGTCAGAGCTCTCCTGCCAGCCTGCGAGGCGCGGGAGGTAGCGGATCTTCTCCCTCCTCCCAGCAGAGGACCAGCAGCGGGTTGTCGGAAGTTCTCATTATCCAGAGCCCGACGCAGAGCGAGCAATCGGAGCCCTCAGCCTCTCCCAGCTACCTTGACGAGTCATCCTCCTCCCCTTTGCCCGCTCCCACCTGGCGCACGTCATCTCCCTATCTGCTCGCTGGTGGAGAGCAGCAGGAGAAGTCAAGCGGCGCTCTCGATCAATCGGGAGGAAGCTCGAGAGCTGGAGGAGTTGCTCCGGTTGAGCTGGAGGAGCAGCTTAAACAGCAGCAGGACGAGAATGTGAACGTCAGGAATCAACAGAAAGAAGAGGAGGAACAGGAGCGGGGACAGGAACAGGAACAGGAGGAGTCTGGAAATGGGCAGGAGAATGCAAAAGAGGAGGAGGAGGAGGAGGAGGAGGAGGAGGATCAACAGGATGGGGAAGAAAGGTTGGAAGAAGCGAAGCTGATTGCCAGAAGAGAGACTTGGTCGCCTCGACTTGATCTCAGCAGAAAATCAGACGGGGGGGAGCAAGTGGTGCAAATGAGAGCCAGCGAGGAAGGAGGACACGAGGAGCCTGAAATAATGCGACAAAGTTGGAAGATCGAGGAGTTTTCAAATGAGCAATGTGATGACACAGAGAAAGAGTTGCCGTCACTGTCTACTTCCCTCAGCTCATCGTTCAAAAGTTCGAGATTGGCGTCTCAAGACTCGAGCTCTGACGTGCGAGACCTGATGCGTGCACAAACGTTCAACCAACACAAGACTGACGGAGGTCAAGATGAAAGTAGAAACCATGACGACGATCGTGATTTTGACAACAAACATTATGATGGTGGTGATGAAAATGTTTCTTTGGTTCGAGATGGTGGAGATTCGACAATTGACAAGCAAAGAGATACGACGAATGTGTTGGATGATAATTACCTTTATGTCCAAGAAGACAGCATACGACAAGACGAGGAGACCTCAAAGGGTCTCCGTACCAGCAGAATCGGTGGAGAGGAGGATGTTGCAGATGAAGGACAGGAAGAAAGCAACATTAGAAGTGACATGAAGGAGACTCTTGAGACTTCAGGGCCTACAGTACAGGATGAAGCAGCTGATTTGACGCCACCGAGCCGTCATCCTCCTAGGGAGCAACACGCATATGACGATAGCGCGAGGATCTCAGGGAGCCTGGAAGGCAAGGTTTGTTCCGTTGCTTTTGACGATGATCGGCGACATGGTGAGAAGCATGTGTGTGTCTCATCAGAACAAGAGGAGGAGGAGATGGATCAAGCTCAAGATAACGAGAATGATGTTGATACACTTGGCAACGTCCCTACCACGTTCGAAGCTGTGCAGGAAATCCAGACAATACAAGATGAAGATGAAAAGAAGAAAGTTTCTGCACTTTCGAGAGAGCTAGTCGTAGCTGATGACCTTCAAGGGCTTGATGGTGAAGGCAAAGAGACAAGTCAAGTTGACTCTTGTGCGGACATATCAGCGGATGTTCATCAGGAAGGGAAGGACGAGGGCAACGACTCGCTGCTGTCGGTTTGGAATTCGCAGGGCAACATCTTGAAGGACCTTCAGCTCACTCGACTGTCCCTGCGCTTGTCCGAGGCTCCTCGCGATGTTCCGCGGACTTTCGAGGATGTAAGAGAAGAAGGCGAAGTAGAATCGAGCGAGTCACCTGCCGTCCTGCCGCCTTCCGACACTCTTGCGACCATGGACGGAGAGGAAGGAGGATCATACAGCGATGAAGGACAGGAGCAAGATGAAGCGCTTGTAAATGAGGAGGAGGTAGACGACGGTGATCAAGGCCGTAAGGAGAGCGCTGGAAAAATTGCGGAGGAACAAGTTACGACGAAGGCGGAAGAAGAAGATGAGGAGGAAGAATTGAACTATCAAGGCCTTGATACAGAAGTGCAAGAAATGGTCAAGGAGGAGGAGAATGAGGAGGAGGAGGAGGAGGAGGAGGAGCAGGAGGAGGAGCAGGAGCAGGAGCAGGAGCAGGAGCAGCAGCAGCTTGAAGTGCCTGTGGAGCTATTCGACGAGGGCAAAGGAGGGAATGGAGAGGAAATGGACGAGGGTGACAGATTGCTTCATCAGGGTACTCCTAGGGAAGAGAGAGATTCCGTGACAGAGGAAGAGGAGGAGGCGGAGGAGGTGGCAGCGGTGGCGGGGAGGAGGAAGAGGAAGAGGCAATGGTGAATGAGGAGGAGGCGGGGAGAGGAAAGGAGGAGGAGGAGGAGGAGGAGGAGGAGGAGGAGGAGGAGGAGGAGAGGGAAAAGGAGTATGATGCACGTGATTGTTCCTCTGCGCATGAAGCCTCGTTGACCTCAGGAAGGGATGATAAGGTCGAGTTGCTCCTTCTACCTCAGTCTCCTCACTTGTTGTCTGCAGTCGCAAGTCAGGGAGATGGAGATTGAAAGTCATTCTCGTAGAGACCTGACGACGGAGGACTGGCAAGCAAGTCTTCACGTCGAGGAGGGGGAGGACGAGGAGGAGGAGATAGTGAAGAAGGAGGACACGGAGGAAGAAATGGAGGAGCAGGAGGAGCAGGAGGAGGATAGGCAGCGAGTGCTCTCCTCGTATGGACGGCTTGCTACGGATGTGTCAGGAGGTGCCGGCATGGAGCAGAAGCATCGAGCTGAGGAGGGAGATGCGATGCTGAGCAAGCAAGGAAACGCTCCTCAGACCCCAGAGATCAAGAAGCGACATGTTGGCGCAGTCAGGGAGACCAAGAGGCAGCAAGAGTCTTGGATCGGCGAGTGTCAGCTAGTTATGTGATAGGATTGTGATTTTTCGGTTGACAGGAGCTGGAGCAGATCGGAACGATACTGTCGCTCGTCCATCCACCGCTCCCGGGAAAGTTTCTTCAGCACACAATGGGGCAGAACAGGTAAAACTTGCCAGCTGCTCCTGCTCCTGCTCCTGCTCCTGCTCCTGCTCCTGCTCCTGCTCCTGCTCCTGCTCCTGCTCCTGCTTCTTTTCTTCTTGTTTTTTCGTGCTCAAGCTGAAATCTCGCATCAGGGATCTGTGCTTCCTGGAGGAAAAGATCAAAGGAAGCTGAGACTTGAGCTACAGCAGGAAAGAGTTTTCTTGATTTTTCTTGAATACCATCCCTCTCTGTCCTTCGAGCTCTCTTCGCCTGATGCCGTCAGTGTCTCACTTTGCTGAAAGCTGAGATTCGATTGCTTTTGCATATAGAGTGATCAAAGCACATGATGTTGTTGTTTTCCTTGTGATCTTTGAATGTTGTTGTCCTGGTGTTGGATTCTGTAAACCCTTATCTTGATTTCTCCTCGAGTCTGTTCCATCAGTTTGTGAAATCTTTCTGTCAGGCGCAAAGAGACATCGAGAGATCTCGAGCTGCAGCTGAAAAGGTTTCTGTCCCCAGCTGACTTCCAGTTGCTGAACCCTGTCTCAGGAGCGAGCAGAGCTGCGCAAGAGGATAGGACGAGAAGCCTTCCAGCTCCTGCTGGGCATGCAAGAGGAGGCCGGCCAAGATGTGCGGGAGGCGCAGCAGGAGAGTCGCTGCCTTGATGATGAGCGAGAGTGCGAGGAGATGGAGGCAGGGGAGGAGGAGAAGGCAGGGGAGGAGGAGAGAAGAGGTCAACTGATCCCGATGTTATCATCCGAAGCTGGAGATGACGACAGAGCACGGAGCGTACGACAGGAGCGTGAGATGATAGAGGAGGAGGAGGAGGAGGAGGAGGAGGAGGAGGAGGAGGAAAAGGAGCATGAGAAGGGTTTGGATAAGGGGATGCATGCTGCCAGAACAACAACCAGATTCGAAAGACACGAAGAAAACATCAGTGAACGCTCTCCTCCAAGCTTGCTGCAAGTATGTTTCTAGATGTTTCTTGAATAACTTTGTCATTACGATGTACATGTTCTGTTGATTAATTGATTTTATGATTTCTTACAGGAATCGTCCCAGATGCATTCGTCACATCAAAGCGAAGTCAGTGAAAGAATGTCGCCTTCCAGAACTTCGCGAGTAGCTTTGATCACTTGCTTTGTGTTTGCAAACTCAACTACATGTCAGAACCGTATCGATCATGACGTCACTGCAGCTTCTGGTGATTGTCAAAACGTCTTCTTTCTTTTCCTGCTTATCCTTGCTCAGATCGTTTCCTGTCGCTGAGCTCCATCCGTGAAGAGCGTGAAGGACACAGGGAGGATGAGCTTGTGTCGGAGGAGAGAGGAGGAGCAGGTGAAGGGAGGGAGTCCAGCCGGCCCGCTGCTCATGGCGCCTCAGGCTCGCGTCAGTTGTCGGAAAGGTCGAGCTCCAAGTAGGAGGAGCCGCATGAGTCTCGCACTGACAGAAGCTCGCGCAGGAAACAAGCTTGGTCGCAAGAGATTCTCCTCCCTCCCCAACCTCGAGATCAGGATGAAATCGACAAGTCAAGGTCCTGGAGGATGCAGCTCAAAAGCATTCTTTCCTCCTCCTCCTCTCCGTGTGCTCCTACAGACGCCTCCATCGGCTCTGCAGCCCTGCCACGTGCTCCCAATGTTACGGAGCCGTTGATGGGGTCAGAAGCGAAACAGAGCAGGCGAGCATGATGATGTCCGAGCAAGGCTATTTCTTGCAGGGCGCAGGAGCCTTCGAGATCTGAGCGAGGGGAGGAGGAGGCGACTGAGAGCGATAGCGTGGAGGAACGCAGGCTGCAGAAGTTCCTTGCGCTGAGGAGGAGGAGGGAGGAGGACGCGCAGATGAGAAAGCAGAGCTCGATGACCAACAGCTCGGGCCCGTCGGTGAGCAAGAGGACCGTGACTCCAGCAGGAGCCTCCGCCAGCAGGTCTGTCGGTGAAGTTGGGGTGCAGTTGGCGAGGTGAAGGAAATGTTGGCAGGCATTCAAACAAGAAGATCATTCGCAATGCCATCGCTCATGTCTGTCTCGTCGCGGTTCGCTTCCACTCCCTCTCTCTTGGTCTCCTTTGAAGCTCTACCTATGTTCTATCTCCTTGACACTTTCCTCGCTCTCAACCCTTCCCCTCCTCCTCCTCCCTCTCAACCCTTTCCCCCTTCCTCGATCTGAGACCTGCTCTCCTCGCGGTCTCAATGTCTCCTCGATCCTCTGCTCGCTGGTTCAAAGGTCTGACTCGATCGCAGGTCGTGGAGCACAAGAAGCGCGATGCTGTCCTCGGCCTGCTGGACTCCTGTGGCAGCGAGACCGCAAACTTCTGCATCCTCCTCGTGCGAGACCCAAATCTCCGATACAGGTTGAGATAACATGTGATGATGAGAGGCAGAGGCAGAGGCAGATGGAGTGTGAGGACGAGGAAAGGGTTTCAAAGTGATCGTTCTCTTGATAGAGGTCTCTATTCCGTCGATCTTGTGGAGAGCCGAGCACAGCTTTTGAGTGGGACAGGTCCCAAGGTAAAACTCTGAGGGTAGAGGAGTTGAAGGGGTGCAAGGGAGGGCGGGGGGAGCAGAAGGGGAGCAGGAGGGGGAGCAGAAGGGGGGATTGGGGGAGGGGGAGAAGAAGGGAGAGGAGGAGGGGGAGGAAGGAGTGGAGGTGTTGTGGACTAAGTTGCATGGCAAGTTCGTTACAGTCGACATGATACGCGAGTTCCTCAAGTACGACTCAGGTGAGGGGATGTGAAGGCGAAGAAAGCATGAAAGTAGACTAGAGAAAACAGAGGTCATGGTGAACGAGGCAGAGAGGGAGGGAGGGAGGGAGGGAGGGAGGGAGGGAGGGAGGGAGGGAGGGAGGGAGGGAGGGAGGGGAACTTAAGTTGGAGGGTCAGATGAGGAAGGAGTGAAGCTGTGCTGCAGGTACCAAATCGTTCCGGGTGCTGGAGACGAGAGACTTCAGCTCGTCTGTAGATGGAGTAGTTTTACATCCGATGACTTACAAATCAGTTAAGATATAAGGTTTTAGTTTAGCAGGAAGGAAACGGAGAGGCATCGCTGGCTACAACTCTACCTCTTTTATCAATCTCCATGTATAGCTTTCAGAATTTGTCTTGTGAATACTGCTGGGTCGGCATGATGAATGATGCTCCTGGTCAGCTCGTCACATATCAAACAGCACAGCAATCATGCCCGCTCACCTTCCATACACAAGACCTGCGGCACCCATCTCAATGAACTTGCGCGCGTCTTCGATCATGCCTTCTTCATCTCCCTTGTCGCTTCCTCGCAGCAGAACCTGCGAGGGCTGGCACACGTGCAAGATAGTCTTGACGTCCTGGATGTTGACAGGAGGGTCGCATTTGAGGATGTCGCCTCCTAGCTCGCAAGCCAGCCTTGCTAGCGGCGCTGTGATGCTCATATCTGTCTCCAGCACAAAGGAATCCTTGTTCTCATTCCACTTCACCGCCAGCACCTCGACGATGAGCGGCATGTTCCATTTCGTGCAGGAGTTGCGCAGCGTGCAAACGTTCCGGACCGTCTGCTTGTGAATCTCGACGGCACCAGGCGCGTCCTCGGGGAGCTTGAGGAGAGTGCAGATGACGCCTGCTGCATCCAGCCGGATCGCCTCCTCAATGATGTTCTCGTTCTGCAGCTCGCAGAAGGGCAGGCAAGGGAACTTTGCGGTGTACACGTTCGAGACATCACAGCGCAGGATCAGCGCAGGCACAGGACATCCTGCAGCCTGCGAGGCTGTGAGGAGGAGATGTGCTTGGCCAGGAGAGAGCTGAATGGAGTTGGGATGCAGCTGAACAAGAATTTTTAGCACGTCAGACATTGACCTGCAATGACAGTCAGGAACGAACAGGCAAGAAGTTTACTCACTCGATGCCAGCAAGGAAGCGGCCATCATTGAAAATTCCATGATCCACTGCTATGTTGAGCATGCGTCCATCCCTCGTGTTGAACAGCCGCTTGGCGCGAGCAGAGCGGTCAAATATGTGCAAGGAACGAACATGTGTGGGAGCTGTAGAAGGATCGGATAGCACTTTTGTAGCTTGGTTGAGCTTGGCAATCCTGTTACGAACTGATCGCTCGTCTCTGATCGGCTTTCCCGTCATTGTACACCATCTCTCGTACAAGTCTACCACCGTCTTCCATGCCCGAGCCGTCTGGGGCTTGATCTGTGAGAAAATCTTGGCAAGTTCTACATCCTCTTCATCCTGGTAGTTAGGGACCCCTCGCTTCCTTCCTCCTGACGCCTTTCTCTCTCCCTTGTCCTGCATCTTGTCGCCCTGCCCGTCTCCATCGTCCATCTTCCTTTCACTGTCTTCCATCTCTGCCATGCTGAGGAATGAGAAGGTAGGGTTGGGTAACGGTTGACACAGGGGAAGGGGGGTGAAGGGTGGCACAAGTCCTAGTTCCAGCTATAAGCTTGAGAGCCAAGGGTCCCTCCACCCCCCCTCCTTCCCAATTGATGTTCAAACAGAGACGTAACGGTCAAACCAAGGACCTCATCCCCATACTCGGATAGACTCGGCGGCGGCAGCGGCCGCCCGGCGGCGGGCAGCGGCCCGGGCCGGGGCTCAGCTCGCTCGGAGGCCCGGCTTTGATGAGGCCGCCGCGGCCCGGCGCCGCCACTGTGGGGACCGTACTGTAATGAGACAGAATGTTTCTGAGCCTCGGAGTCTCGCGGCGGCGGGGGGGGGCTCAGCCGCGACAGTGTTGGGGCTGCGACAAGCGGCAATCCGATCATTCGGAGGCGGACTACGCTGAAAGTTCACTGCAGACGGCCCCGGGTACCGACGGTCGCTCGGATTCCCGCTGGAGTCCCCGGAGCAGTGGTGGACCAGTGAATGGCACGGCTCGGAGCCTCCGCTCACTGCCGCGTTGTGCCAGTAACTTCAAGTCACACGACTCGTCTGATCCGACTCGGACTCCCGGACTCCGGAACGCCGGTCGGCCCCCCGGGGTTTGCCGTTCTAGTGGGGGTGGGGTGGCCTGAGGTTTGCTGCTCAAGGTTCTAACTTTTTAAACCAGCCCAGGCTAAAGTTTCAATTTTAGTAGCGTAGGGTCATGGCAGTTGATACCGTCAGAAGGGGGTGGGGTCTATTCGGTCAAGCTAAATTCTTTTGCGCTGGGCTTAGTCAAGTCCGCGGTATGGCAGAATGTCGCTGCGTGATCTTGAAGGAGGAGGAGGATGGCGAGGTCAAGTCCTCAGCATGTCCTAACTCGAGCCGTGCAAAGCTCCGACCAGTGACCTAGGGCTGGCACCTTGGTAAGCTCCGAGGATTGAGCTGCCGTGGCCTTACAAGGAAAAAAGCCGGTCGCGAGCAGCAGAGGACGTTGAGCAGTATTTGAATCAAAATGAAGAGCATTCTCGACCAGCTGTTGGAAGAAGCTCAAGCAGGTTTTGATGTGCAAGACAACGAAGAGCTGGAAGCTGCCCTTGCTGCAACTCTGGTATAGGCCAGTTCAGCATGCGAACATTTCTGACATCGTGTGGTTTAGCCGGCACATTACCAGAGGAGTGTCCTTCATAGACCGCATGATGGTGAAGATCTTTCCTCACTCCTTAGCATCCATCTTGTCTCGTGTAGCCATGACCTTAGCATCCATCTTCTCTTGTGTAGCTATGATCAATAACCCGGTGATTATACAGCTTGTGAGGAGGGGTTAAACGGGCGAAACGAAGGTATTCATCTTGACCTGTCTGAAATGGGGCTCGCTCACATTCTTGGACCAAGACGCAAACAATACCGTAGAGGATGAATCTCTTCCTCACTCCAACCTAGAGTGGGGACAGAGCTACCTTTGCGACGTCGATGGTCTTTCAAGTCTTTATCGTTCGAGTGTCCAACGCTTCATGATAGGTTCATCAGCCGCTGCCAAGTTTGGAGGAGGAGGAAGCCATGATGTCCCAACAGTTTGTAGCTGTGGGGAAGTTATCCGAAAAGGAAGAGGCTTGTGGAAGGTGATCCTGAGCGTTTATCATCACAGTGTTTCTGACAAGGGAGAGGAAAGATTCGTTTTGATCGCAAGGGGAGGGGGTTGGTCAAGGTAGGGCATGTCTTGTGGATTCCTTTAGGATCTTTCTCTAAAGTATCGGCAGGTTGGATTGGCGAAATATGCTGCACAGGAGAAAGGAATCGCTGGGATCGAGCTGGGACAGAACTGGAATGACAGGTACAAGGGTTCATTCAACAATTAGGTTGCATCGTAATGTGTGATTGGCAGAACTTGTGTTGACACCACATGGTACGTTGACAGTGATGGAGATGTGTTTGAAGGAAACAATTGCCTCTGCGAATCGGCGACCGGAGAAGGATTTAGAGTGATCACTTTTAATTCGACCGCAAGTTGGTTGCTGATGTTATGTATCTTATAGAGTGGAGATATTGTTACTGTGGAAGTCAAAGATGCTCTTGCAGCATTTTCTGTAAACGATGAGGTGCATAGATCATCGATCAATTTCTGGAATGATTCCTGTGTTCAGACTCTTGTAGAGAACATTCAGATCAAAAGCTGGCCTGTGAGATTGGCAATTCTGCTTGTGTTCAAGGTCGTGGAATTTTCACATGATATTCCTTGTTGACAAAGTTATTGCTACAGGGAGATAGGGTGACGTTATTGCAAGAAGAAATCATGGACGAGAAGGTGTATTCATAATCTCTATCAGTAATACGACACATTTATTCACTGCGACAGCAATATGAACGATGGAAGCACGAAATCGATAGAAGACTGAGGTAAGTTTTCATTATGGCTAGGCTTGGCACCGAAGTGATAGGCACCTCGCAAGGTGGGAAGAAATGGAAAAACACAACAGGCGCGTGTTCTCAAATAGCTTGAAACCAAACGCTGACTCCGTAAGAGATGTTCTCATTTATTTAATTCACCACTCGTTGACTGACTGTCTTTCTCTTGCAGACTCCAAAGATTCAACAATTAGACCCCCAAACACCTCACAAGAAGGATGCAGAGTAAGAGAGATAGAGTATTCTAGACCTCTTGCATCTTGATGTTCAAACAGAGGCATGATCGACCCGTCCATCACAATCACCTCAACTCCAGTTATGGAACATTTCTCTTCTCGTCAGCTCAACCAAGACATCATGAAGTTTGATAAGGTGACGTATCCACTGAATCCCCTCTTGTGAGGTTGCCATGTAGGAAATGTCTGCCACAGAGGATGTGGAGCTAGAATTGGAGGAGGAGAGTCCTATGGAAGTATTGATGTTTCACTCGTGCTGGGTGCGAGATGCTGATCGATCGCAGCTGGTACTCCCCGGCAACGATGACTCCGACTCGATGTCAGCGTCGGAGTTGTCTGCAAGAGACAACAAGTAAGTCGAGACCGATTGGATATGGTTATCACTCCCTGCTGTTCTTTTGACCTGCTCTTCTAGCAATGATCATTTCTTTGAGTCAAAGAATCTATTTGACACGAGTGCCCGTCCCGAAATATCCCAGCACGAGGTGAGATACAGTCAAACGGTTCTCCAGGCCTGACTTTCTGGCAGGCTGCATATCAGCCTCCGATGCAGACTCCCATGCAGACTCCCATGCAGACTCCCATGCAGACTCCCATGCCTGTCCGAGCGGATCCTCCGATGACAGCTGGTTGCTCGAGTCGCAAAGAGTCGCAGACAGAGGAGGACGAAAGTCAGGGGTGCTTTGTAGTTGATGTTCCGTCCATGGAACAGACGGCCGTGAAGGTGAGGAGCAGAGCGGCGAGGGGATGAGGGGATGACTGCGATTGACAGGCAAAGATTGAAACAGAGCGACCTTGCAGAGAGAAAACAGAGATGAAAGTAAGACGAATGACTTGTATTACTATCAACAACATGTTTTACATCGATTTCCTTCCGTGACTCTTATGATGCGCAGAGCAATGGAAGCCAAGGAAATCGATGCTGTCTCGTGCAATGACGGCAAAGATGTTATTTTTTTTCTTTGTTTGGTTTGCAGCAAGAAATTCTAAAACAATATTCTGATGTAAAATTATTGAGACAACAGGCAGAGAATAAACGAAGAACTGCTGAATAGAACTAATACGTGAGTTCGGACTTTTGTCTTTTCGCAGTGATCACCTTGAGATTACAAGAGACAAGTTGAGAAGGAGATCGCGTCTCTCTTCGGGCTCCAGCCTTGCTTCCACTTGAGGTCGTACTCAAAGTCTGCCTCAACCAACTTCGTTTCCCATGCTGGCCCGCTCTTGACGTACTCGAGGAACTCGGGGGTGCCGGGATAGATCACGTTGTCAGCTGCGATCACTGTACCTTTGCCGACGATGTTCAGCTGCTGCAAGCGCTTGAGGTCAGGGAGGTAGAGGGACTTGTTGTGGTCCAGGAAGACAAAGTCCGCGTGCTTCACTCGGTCGGCAACCTTAGGGATGACGTCACCTGACAGGCCCACGACTATGCTGACCGAGTCTTGAAGCCCAGCGTAGCGAATAAGCTGAGACGCGACGTCAGCGTGAGCTGGATTGTACTCTATACAGTAGAGATGCCCTCCTGCTGCCAAGTTTCTTGCTGTCCGCATGGCAGAGTAACCAAAGAACGTGCCTATCTCGAGAGACGTCCGGATACTCAAGCCCCTCGTCTTGATCTCCTCCTCCAGTATCTTGCCTTTCTCTGACCCGAGCTTGTACATCGGATAGAACTTGCCAAACTCGTCCATGGCCGCGAGGATCTCGTCTATGTTCCCCTCCGACGCGTGCGAGAAGATGAAGGGAAGGATGTCTGAGGGCTGAGCGTACGGCCATTTCACATAGAAGTCACTGCTCGAGTCAGTCGCTACTGAGGGTCTTGCGGGAGGAGCTGCGAGCAAGGAGAAGATAGAGAGCACGGAAGTCGCCGAGGAAATGAACTTTCTGCGCCGAAAGTCCGACGTCGTCATGGTTATGCGCTCCTTCCCAGGTCTGGGAGGGCGAGGATTGCGAGGAGAAGAGAAGGAGTAAGAGGAGGAAGAGATCTGCGACTGTGTGCTTGATGATGTTCCGACATACCGACATGGTGGCGAGAGGAAGGCGCCAGACCCGAAGGCTCCTGCTCCCGCCAGCCCCACCATGACTCGAAGCCACCCTGCCCCCATGGCTAAAAAGATACGGAGGAATCACACAGGTTGAGGGGTGGGGTACCAAGAGTGTGTCGGGGGGTCGGAAATGGTGAAGAAAGGGGAGGAGATATGGCGGGGGCAGGCGATATGCGGGCAAGAGACAGTGAGGATGGAGAGACGATGCCTTCGATGCTCTCATTGTGGGAGGGAGGCGGGTGACATGAGCCAGCAGCTCTCCGTCGCTCTTGGGCAGGGAAGGGTTTCGGTATGCCAGAAACCATGCAAGACCTTGCCAAAGCTTGGAGGAGGTTACGATGCTGAGCAAGCCTGCTGCTGCGAGCGAGGGGGCTGCGATGAGGTTTACTGCAGCAAACGTTGCCGTGAAGATGATCGGCAGCGCCATCGCATCTCATGCGGTGGTCGAGAAAACGAACACTCGAGAGATCTGAGGAGATTCGCACGAGGAGCTGGAATGGAACACCTCCTGCTCCTCTCCAGGTTGGTTGGTCTCATTCTTGACCGCCAGGCAGACAGCAGCAATGGCATGGAAGAAGCGCTGGAGGAGGCGTGCACGCGTCATGATCTAAGCATGCTTTCTGTTGGGTGCGAAGCCGGTCTTGATGTTCGTGTGTCGGGGGGTCACGACGATGATAACAAGGATCACAAGGAGGATTGCAGCGACGAAGAGAGCGAGGCCTGGGTCTTGTTTTCATCTCTGATAAGGTTTGAAGTCGATTGTCGAAGTCACGAGCGAGGGGAAGAAGCCGGTCGCCAATACCTTCAAGGTGTAAGAGATTTGTTCATGAACAAACCTTGCTTCCTGAAGTTCTTGAGATTGGTGAAGCAGCTCATGGTAAGCGTTTTCGTGCCGAGCCCTTTGATTTCCTATTGTCAAGACTTGATCAAGACGGACGTGGAGGACCAGCTTCGGGAGGAGGCAGAGGCAGCCATGTCCAGCTTCATCGAAGGAGTGATGGCTAACGACGGAACGGACGCATACCATCCCAACGATGCGAATCCTTGTGGGGACGAGAAGCAGGACGGCGCTCGAATATTGCGAGAGCGAAAATTAGCTCGTCTGGCCCAAAGTGCGCTAGAGAAAAGCTCGTCGACCAATCCCTTTGGAGACTCGTTCAACATAGTTCATGCATTGATTCCCGGTATCTGCTCCTGTGCTCACTCTTGTGTGCCGAATGCCCTGGTAGAAGCTGCGTATGACGAGCAAGGGAGGAATCTGATTCGGGTTGTTGCTCTCAGAGACATCGGGGATGATGAAGCAATCTCTATCTCCTTCATTGATCACAACCAGCCGATAAATGAACGAACCGCAGCATATCGCGAGCGGTTCGGGCTGAAATTTTGTCCATGCATGAGGTGCAACTATGAGCGAGGATCTGTCACGGATCTCAACGTTTCTCAGCTTCGAGCTCTTGGCGATCTTGCGATGCAGCAACATCGTTATCAAGACGCCTACGAACTTTACGGGAATATTTTAGCTCTGCACCCAAACGAGCCGGAAGCCTTGTTTGCTCGTGGTGGGGCTCTGCTGGAGGCTGGTTTGTGGGTTCATGCGCATCAAGCCTTTCGAGAAGCTGCTCTCCTAGCGCCAGGGCATGAGCGACTGACTGCCCTCCACCTCAAGGAGATGGCGTATTCTCTTGAGGTAGGGTCAGACCCGGAGAAGTGGGGTGACGAAAGGGAACACGGAAAACAGTCGTGTCCTCGCTTCCATCCTGTTGTTGAGGGCAGAGCATTTGTTACATACGGTGAACATCCCGTCGTTCCGCTCGCTGAGTGTCAACTGGCTGTGGATATGGCGGAAGCAGCCGCATCGCGAAGGGGTGGATGGACTACATCTCGACATTATGCGGTTCCTACGACAGATCTGCCGGTCCACGAACATGATGAAATTCTTTGCTGGTTTCGAAAACATCTTGCTTGTAGGCTGGGACCACTGCTCGCTCTTCAATATGGTAAGCTACATCTGACTGTAGTTTGAAGCCAACATTGTTTTTGATTAGGAGCGGATATGGTCGGGGAGAAGGGGTGTTTTGTGCGAATATTTGACGCGTTCATAGTCAAATACGCTGCGTCAGGTGGACAGGTTTGAAGTCCTTGATATGACTTTGATTTCGACTCAACAATCTTGTTCCCCGCAGCGACATCTTCCTGTTCACAGAGATCAATCGACTCATTCATTCACTATTGCATTGAATGCTAGGAGCTGCTATGAAGGTGGAGGCACTTACTTCTGTAAACTTTCTTCCATCTTGATAGACATCTTAAACTGATGACATGCCGTCAGGTGGTCTCGGAACAGCGATAAAGCCCGAGCAAGGACATGTCCTGTCATTCGAAGGCGACATGTTGCATGGAGGAGAACCCATGTAGTAATTTCGACCTACTCTCGAATTGATGTTACTCTCGAATTGAGTTTTGCTCAGTACGTCGGGCGTCAGGTACATCCTGGCAGCGTTTACGTACATCGACGTGCCATCACCGGAACGATCTACATTTTCCGTCACATCGTCTGACTGGCCGTGAGTGGTCTGTGTGATATGTTTGTGTGTTGATGTCGTTTGTTAGCGACTCTTCTCCTCACTCTCGCAACAAGAGGACTCGAGATGAGCAAGCACAAGATAGCCGGATGCCGAGAGCAAAGATCGACTGGCTGGGGGAGTCGAATACGGAGGCTTCATTCTCATTCAACTTCAGCTGATTGTTGGTGGTCGCATAGCACTTTTCATAGGTAAAGGCATCAAGTCTCAGAATCATCGGTACAGTCATTAAATCTTGCAGTTCGTCTTCTTTCAATGAAAATTTCTAAATGCAGTCAGAATGTGATGTTGGCTGCCTATTGCGATTCTCCAATTTGCCACCAAGGTATTCCTTTCGGATTCCCTTCCTCATCAAACTTGTCCCTCCAAGTGGTCTTGACAACAGGTTCCTCTTTCTTCATTCTCAAAGTCTGATTGGAAGTGAGCAAGGAGGAATCACCGCCTGTACCTTACCTGCACCAATGCCTGGCTTATAGCCTTGATTCGAGCCGGGCTGGCATCCCATGTTCGTAAGGCTGGCGCGCGACTCAGAGACTCCTGGCTCTTGTCGTGTTTGAGTGACAATCAAAGCAAATCGCGTACCAAACCTTGTGGCTTTTCTTTGGAGTGTTCGATACCAATCTCTGATCTGCCTTCAGTTCCGGCATACAAGGCAATCGCAACCTGGTGTATTCTTTCAACCAGAAAGCAATCGTCACCCATGTGCTACCTTACACAAAGATTTGTGTACATCCGAAGGCAATCTTTTCTGACCTCCCCTTCATCCATCTCATCATCTCGATTTGAGCTTGATCGTCGAGGGTTTGAAATCAAACTTTCCAAGTATTCGGTTTCTTCCTTGCGGGTTCCTTTTCATGGAGCATCAGTTGGCAATACGAAGAAATGTTGAAAACTCGCCCCGTGCAGAGACTGTCTTGCCAGTGATGTTGTTGATCTCTGCCGCTGTCTCTTGAAGTAGTGAAGCATAATTCAATTCGTTTACATCTGACATTTGTTGTGAGACATCGCGCAGCTAGTTGAATGTGTTGTCATTTGTCACCCAAGGATCTTTTTGAGGTTTCGTCTCCAAGGCTATCCTGCAAACTCATTCATTGACCCTCAAACCTGCAAGCACATGCAGTTTGTGTACCTTTTTGTGGAGTTTGTATCGTGACGACACAGCTTCCTTTTCTCGCGTGCTCGCTTTGTCTTTTGAATAATGGAGCACCAAATCTAAACTTCTGTTTGGATTTGAGATTTAGTACAACAAATTGAATCGACCTCGGCGGTTTTGACGGTGACGTTGATTTATACGGGTTTGTAAATGATGTTATCCATGGTGAACTTTAAATCACTGCAATCAGATGACATTCTGTCACATGCTATACTCACGTGCGATAGCCAAAGGTCTGTTCTTCTTTGTTCTTGGCTTGGTTTGATCTGAGATGTTTACCTTTCCTTTATGCATTTTTCAGTATACAAACATCGATTTTTCCTCGGAATACAAGCATCGAATTCAATATGTATCAAGATAAACTTATTTAATCTATTCGATTTCAGGCAACCACAAGCATTTTTTGTTACAGTAGCATAACACGCAATCAACATCCCCTGGGGTATGGCATGAGGCGTGACTTGCCTGGTGCTTGTTCCTCGCTGTCTTCGGCGATCAGGCATGCGGGGAGACAAGGGAGGATCCTCGAGGTGTGACCCGAGGAGTCAGTTGGGCGAGGAAAGGCGGAACCCTCTCCCTTCAGCAGTAGAAGCAAGCTAACGGAGGAGCGTTGTAACCGCCTCGGGGTCCCTACAGTAGGCCCTTCCGAAAATCGTCCGATCAGCTCAGGCCGCTAGCCCGGGGGCCCGCGCCAGCTGCCAGCATACTGACCTACTAGTCGACTCAGCTAGCAGCTGCAGCCTTCACTAGCCGCACGCGGCAGCACAACTTGGCAACGCTTCAACTTATACGTTTGGCACGTGACGGTTGCGGACATAACCGTCAGGTTTACATCAATTTAAATTGATCTCTCTGCTCTGCTTCGGATGACAACTGCACGCTCCACATAGTACCGTACCGACTATCATAGCATGGTGAATCTAAGAAACTATGATACTATCATAAGCATCAATACTTGACGATTTCAAGTTTTCCAGTACACTACCTTACCATACTGTACAGTGGATATATGAATCGGAAAAGGATAAGGATGAGGTCACTGAATGGTCATCCAAAATTCTAGATGCGTGCATTGAAGAATAGGAGAAATGCAGCAGTTTTACTTTTGGAACTGCTGTTAAACGATGTCGTACTTTGATTAAACAAGAATTTTACTTGCGATAACTTCATACCTCTTCTCCAATCTGATTGCAATACCAAAAGATCCATGATCTGGACAAAGGTGTCTCCCAAGTGTCAGTGTTGTTTTCCTCCATTGCATCCTTGCTTGCTTGTATCATTTTTGAGCGTCTCATAAACAACAAATGTTGCTCTATTTCCTCTTGATTCTCCAGCTCGATATCGGAAGAGTCTTGGTCTCTTTCATCTTCATTTTGTATCGCACCATGCTTTCTGTATGGCCATCGAGCTATACCAAGCTTTCTACAGACTATCTTCAGAGTGGTTGAAGAGATTCCCTGTTTGAAATCAACAAAACTACAAATAACAGAAGAGTCAAGGAAACTTTACCAGAATTTTTGCTGCTTCCACTTGCTTCATGTTGAAATATTGTGAGATAGATTCAACACTCAATTCAAGTCGTTGCGGTTTGTATCGGAAGGTACAGAAACGCTTAGGTTGCACGACAACTGACTGCTGTTTGTCGCTGACAGATATCATTGATGTTGAATGTGTCACAGTATCGCTCGTCGCTTTGCTGAGATGAGATTGATCCATTTCTTGATGCAGGAAGAGCAACAAGACACAAGGAATGAGGACTGAAGGCTCCTCTGCAGTATCTTCTGACGGAGTGTGAATATCAAACTGTTGAGCGGGGGCGTCATGACGAGTGTTACGAAAAGGTATTTTTTTGGGTGGGAGGCTTATCCGATTGCTGACGGATACAGTTCAGAAACGCAATGATTCAGTGGGTAACCAACGCCTGCCGCCGGGGTAACCAAGCGACCGAAAAAAAAATGATCCAGCGGTCGCAAGCCTGCCGCAGTGCCGGCGAGCTGAGCCGGGCCCGGGCGCCGGGCCGCCTCAGGGCCGCACACGGCCCGGCCGCCGGAACCGCCGCGCCGTACCGGGCCGGGTCCGTTGAACGAACCTTCCGAAGTTCGAGTCTAAGTTCGCCGGGAACTTCAAGTGAAGCCCGGCCGGCCGAGCCGTAAGGCGGCAGTTTTTGCTCAAGACCAAATTTAATTCAACTAACCAAACATAAGATCAACATGATTGAGCATGTAATCGAGGCTCATAACCGACGGAACACAAGTTTGTTAGACTTGTACTATGCCAACTTGCAAAGTCACACAGATGTCACATAAACCTTAGTTGTCACCCGTAACAAGACAGTTTTTGCTCAAGACCGAGTTTAATGCACACAAAACCAGAATTGAGGAGCCGCCTCGGAGCACTGCGCCACATCATTCGGAGAGATAGACTGTACTATATTTGCGGCAAGACAAGAGAGGACCTTAGCACTGAAAGGCGAGGAAAGCCCCCTCTGCGTGAGAGTCATGGCTACATTGGCCGCCCTCCCACGTAAGTCGTCTTGGTTACTGGCCGCGCAGTATGCGGGCCCGGGCCCGGCCCCGGGCCTGCGCAAGTTCAATCGATGATCATCATGCCTGGCATCGCGGCGGCGGCACCGTCAGCTTTTTACCTCCAATCAAGGCTTGCCAAGTTGGCGGTTAACTTAGTCTGAGTTCGCGGACTCGGGAGTCCGGGCCGCGGGCCGACCGGCACCGTCACTGGCCTCAGCGTTCGGTACCGGCGGGCCGGGGCCGCCGGCCCGCGGCCCGTCAGGGCCCGGTGTCACCGTCACACAGGCTGGCAGGCTGCCAGTGGCCGCACTGTGACTCAGTGACTGTCTCAGGCTCATTCAGAGTCCGAAGTTCAAGTTCTCCACTCCGGGCCGACCGTAAGGTTTTCAACTTATTGACAGCCCGGCTTCGACCCGGGCTGCGGGCCGGCCCGGCCGCCGGCGCCGGCGGGCTGCGCGGCGGCGGCGGCCCGGCCGCGTTGCCAGCGGCGACCCGCCGGGCCCGGCGCCGGGCCCGCCGGGGGGCCGCACGGTCACGGTCGGCCCTCGGCCGCGTACCGTACGGTACCGGCCCGGTACCGGGTCGGACGGACGGCCCGCCGCCGCCCGGCGATGCCGGCCCCCCCCGGGGCAGCCGCGCCGCGCTATCAGAGTCGGAGAAGCGACTACTGGATGGGGTGAAGGGTATAGCTTCGAGCGATCGGAAATGCTCTACAGCTTGAAGTTCAAGAGAGTGGTCGTGATGGCACTGGTCCTCTGTTGTGGTAGCATAGGTGACTCCATGGACCGAGGATCTCAAGGTTCCACTTTTTCCTTGTCGCGATCAGGCTCCCCAGCACATGGAGACAACGACTGGGTGTCACACGATTCGGGGAGGGACGAAGATATGCTGAAGAGAATTGTATCAGATGCCATGTCGAAAGTGAAGAAGGAATTGAACTCATCGATCTGCTATCTGTGAAATTGCTTTTGCAGGTCGCAGAACAGAGCAAGCCCCATACACAAAACGACGAGCCGGAAACTTGGGGACCCCGAGGCATGTTTCACACGAACGCAAGGACTGCTGTTCAACGAGTAAGATGGTTGGTCTTCGGCTTGGAGTTGAAGATTGTCTTGTCAGGCTCGTGATCTTAAAACTATCTTGTTTGTATACATACCAGATGATTCGGAACAGAAACAGGAGAAGAGCTCCGTGCATCTTGAACCGTTACTACAACGACGAGATGTTCGACTGCTGCTATCTTCCGAATGCGTCCTGTTGTGTCTTTTCCCTGACACTCCGGATTCTGCCTGGCTGTTTCAACTTTATGGGTTGCCCAAGTCCCTTCCATCAGGTATGGGGTTACTTTGATGTGTTGGGATAGCAACTCTAAAGTAGAATAAGTTTACATAGTCATGCCAAATGGAACACTTTATGATGTCATTGAAGAAATCAACGCTCCTGCTGTAAGAACTTGATATCATCTGGTTGACAAATTGAGAATTTCACAAAGATTTTTCGTTCTGTGGATAAGGCTCTCCTTGCTATACATAAGGGTAAAATTTTGCATTTTTCGCAAATTCTTACCAGCAACAGGCCAAAAGACAGCAAATTTGCTTGCAAAGTTCCGCAAAAAAGAGAGAAGGAGAAAGAGTCTGAGCAAGACAATTGTACAAAGTGTGCCACCCAAAGAGAAGAAGCGCAGGCCATTTCATCTCAGACCCAGCTCTTTACGAAATGTGATTGCCTCGTTTGATTACGCACTCACCCTGACACTTTCCTGTTTGAATGTTTAGAATGCGCTCAATCCAATCAGTTTTGGCGAAGGCTTCTTCACTCTTGACGAGCTTGATGCAAACTTTGATGACGTGTATTTGAAAGAATCTCAGGTCAACCTTTCGAATATGTTGAAAGGGTTCTGACATATCTTGAAGTATCACAAGAAACTTCTTGACGCTTTGCCCTTGATCGATGAATCCAAACCAACGACGAATATTCGTGAACATGAGCAGGAATTCATGCCTGTTAAGGTTGATGCTAATGCTGTCCGTATTCCACAATGATTTCGGTGTCTTTTCAGACTGTCGGGCATTTCAACGAATTAGAGAGCTGCATTGCCCGTTGTATTTACCGCTTGGAATCTGAACCAGCCATTGAAAACATGACTGTCACGATGAACGGTGGACAGTACATCTGGCGTTGGGACCTCGAGGTAAGGAGTATAATCTCTTGATAAACACTGAAGTGCCTTCACTTTTTGCATGAAATCAGATCTCTCCTACGATTTTACAGAGAAAAGCTTTGGTTCCAGGAGGGACATGTTTTATTTCTGAGTGGGATGCATATATAGTAACAAGATTCTTTGCCTGCCATGCTCTCTGATAGTCCTGTAGTGTCAAGCAAGAATGGAGGCTTCTCCGTGGTTCCAGATATCCAACGTTGAAAACTACACCTTCAAGGGCAAAGAGGTTTGTCTGTGGCCGCAGCTTCAATGTAGTTGAGTGTCAGCAGATTGGTGTCTTGAACTTCCGATCAGATGGAGACTGTCAAATGAGAGGGAAGTGGTGGCTCAAGCCAGGAGTCGCGGTCTGATAGTTGAGGTTGTTCAATGCAAGTGCTCAACATCAATTAGGGAACCTTCGAAGAGATGAACTTCGAGCATGAATCTCATTTTTCTGAGCCTTGTCCGCACACTGATCCAATCACTTGCAAGTAAGTGTTTGGCATTACCTATGAATATTAGGGAGGAAAGTATTAGAATGATTGTTATTTGACGAGCTCATAAGAAAGGATGAGGCGATTCAGTGTTGGACATCGAACTGCAGTGGAATTGCAGTTGCAGGAGTTTACGAGGTATTTGTCTTCAAAGTGCATCTCGAATTACATTCTGCTTTGCAGATGCGAGACGAAGAATGTCCTTTGATAACAAGTCAAAGTCCTATCATATCCTTTGATCCCCTGGTATGCTAGTTTGTAATGCATGGAGTTTGAATTTCATTCTTCCTCAGAAAATGAAGAATGAGGAGGGGATGAGCTTCACAGCTCAAGGGAGGTAGTAGTTCTTGACTTCATCTGCTCGAGTCTCAACTTTTGGACTACACTGATACAGGTGGGAAGGGTCTCACTCAGGAGGAAAATGGGAAGGAAACGTTTGGGTACCGAATATGCTTGAAGTCCACAACTCTCTGGTGGACAGATTGAAATACTTGCACACATCATACTTGGCCAATATACCATACACTTTTCAATACTTCACTTGTGAGTTCTGCAAGGACAGGCAATTCACACTTATCAAGTTTGACACTTTGTTGTCTAAAAGTTTTTATCAACAGAGTGAAGAATTTGTTCAACATTATGGGAGGACCATGGAACTTCAACAAATGTCATTTGCGAGGAGGTTGAAAAATTTCAAACATTATTTGTAATTTTTCTCATATTTCTTCAGCAAAGATTGTTCTTGTCCGATTGACATACAAGAAGGCGAGAGTCAACTTGGACAAATGCTACATTGCAGGGATCAACGGACTTGACGACGGTTTGTGAACTTTGTGTGTAGCCATATTCAAACAAATTACAGCGGGAGAAGACAAAGGACATTCCTTTCATTTTCAAAAAGGTCAACCTTCCCTTTCCTAGTTTAATGTCAACTCGAACTTGCAGTTAAGGACGAACAGACTGTCCGTACCTGTCAATCCAAATATTCAGAGTCTGACCTGAGAGCTCATCTAGCAGTATGCACTATTGAGTTCCCTTCTGTCCATGAATTGTTCGAGCAGTTAAGTGCAGGAAGCAAAGGCTGCAAATTCAAAATCACAAAATGCATGATCGAAAATTGCGGGTGGAGTCAAGCTGCAAATAAGTTCGTGCAGGTCACTTCGTCTGCAGGTGGGGTGGAGGTGGAGGAATAATTTTGAAAGGAGCTTCTTGTACCGTAGAGAATACAACAATCAGAAAGTGCATCAGGTTGCGAAATAAGCGCCTGAACGCTCTCGCTGCTCACGATCCGAATACAGAGGAATTGGGTTGATTGACGGCGCAAAAATCAGATTGGACACGTGTTGTTTGTTCAAGAACAGGTTGTCTCGTTGTAATTGAACTTCAGGACTCATGGATTCCAACAGCATTTTCAACTTTTTCAGCAAAGGAGAGGAGGTCTCGACACTTGACATCACAAATTCATCCATTGAAGGCAAATTTTTGATGGGAGACAACACGAGTGAGTTAATTTCTAGCATTGAAATTTTCGTGACCAACGCAACGATTTTAATGACCTCTCTCATCAGATAATCTGAGGATTGTACAGTCCAGAAATTCTTTTATATGAAACAGAAAGCGATGTATAGCATTTTTAATTAGTATACACATCATCATGACATGTTATTATGCAAATTCAAGCAAGTCTTTTCTGTAAATTGCCAGACTTTACCTTCCTGGCACCTTTTCAGTTTCAAGATGCAGAAGTTTCCCTAACCAAAACGTCAGAGCGAGTTGGAAAGAATCATTTACTGCCTCCGAGAAAGCTCCTGGATAGATACAAGGAAGTCCATCAAACTCAATCAAATGTGTTTCTTTTAAGCGCCGCAAAGGGAGATGGTGTTTGTTTGCCACCTTCCCTGCGGTTTGCATTACTGTTTGTGAACCATCCTCCAAAATTGACTCATCTATGCCAAACTTTGAGCACGTTGAAAGCTCAGATGAGTAGACCTTTCATAGTGCAGTCTCCATGTTTGGGGTCGTCAGATCCGAAACAAATAAGCGAGAATTTCGCTGAGAAATCTTGTTTCTGGTCGAATAGATCAGACTCAAATTTCATGTCACGGTACTGAGGTGGATTTGGCACCTTTGAAATTACGTTCGTCCAAGAATCAGCAAGATGTGGTCTTGTTGGAGAACTTCCAATTTGATCCTCAGCTGCAAGAAAATATTAAAATGAAACAGCCGATGGATGAAATGGCACCATCATGACTGATGTTGCAATTAGACAAGATGACAACGCTATCTCCTTGCATGATAAAGTCTTGTCCCATCCTTGAGGTTAAGCACATGAGGCTATTCATGTCATTCTTGTGACAATCACATCCTTCTGCTTACTGCTGTTGGTTATCAGAACCTTCTTTCTGCTGCAACGAATTCTCCGCATTCATGTGTCTTTCTATCTCTGTCATGGGCATCTGTTTGTGATGTCATGAGGAGACAAATTCATTGTCTTCAACCCCTCCCCGCTATGCCCAATGTTTCACCTTGCCATAGTCGAAGCCCAACAACACGAGGTCTTGAGCAATCCTCAAGCAGCGATGATATAGATTGCATGAGTTTGATGTTAGACGCGGCAGCTGAGACCCGCTGCCCTGTCATCCACACGTCATCATACAAGAAGCCCCTTCAGCACTCTTGCCTGAGTTGTAGGCGGGTCGTGACGCCCAGGGACGTAGGCAACGCGGCATTGAATGTTCTCCAGTGCTACACTACAAGTCATGAAGAACGTATGCAGTCAAAGTGAGACTGGAACCAGAAATGATCGCACTTGTGTCCCCTTCGCTCGCTGACAACATCTCTGGCTTCTGCTCATGGATAAGTTGAACAGCATTTCTACAACAAAATACATGGTCGCTATTGTCCAGGAAGATCAAATTTCCAGTCACCCAAATCATGTCGACATGAATAGATTGAGCCTGTCAACTCGACTCACAAATGTCTTCAGAGAGGAGTCAACACGCACCGTAAGAAACTCAGCGAGCTTGTGGATGTTCGAAAGGTTACTTTTAACATCCGAAACTAGAAGAACCTCAAAGAGCTTCTTAATCGAGCTCCAAGAAATATTGTCTCACCAAGAGTTCATCAACGTGCGAGCGATAATCGTAAAATGCTGGATAGATCTGGAGCAATTTGATTCGAATGTGTGAACAATAATATCATACCTCACACATTGTTATCAGTTTGCTTTCGGCAGGCAGGTTCCAGGTTTAGGGTTCCAGGTTTAGGGTTCCAGGTTTAGGGTTTAGGCACAGAGAACAAGCCTGAGCACGAAGGATATGAGAAGGCTGGCAGACGACAGGGTAAAGACCAACGAGGACAAATCAAAAGGGAAGCCTCAAAAGCAAGCAACCAGGATCAGCATGGCAGGGAAGGGGCAAGGACACAGGAGACAGTTGGAAGACGACAGGGGAAAGGTACGGTCAACGCGGACAGACCGAAGGGGAAGCCTCACAGGCGAAAAACCAAGACCAGCCTGCCATGGCAGGAAAGGGCCCGGGCTCAAGGACTCAGCACAACAAAGGACAGGTGGACGGTTACACTAAAACCGTCGAGCCGCCGGGGGCGGGCCCGGCGGACTTCGGGACTCCGACTCAGCGGCCCGGCGGGCGGCCCCACCCGGCGGCTCAGACCGCCGGAGGACTCAGCCTGATGGTGATGGATCACATGCCAGCCGTGCCAGTCAGATAGCGCCGAGTTAACAAAAGCTTCCTGTAAACCAAGACGACCCTTACGTGCGGCGGGGCGCCGCCCGCACTCAGCCGCCGCCGCAGGGCGGCCGCCCGGGCCCGGGAATGCTTCCGAAGTTCACTGAACCCGGTTCGCGGTGGCGTGACCGGGTGGACGAAGAGGGGCCGGAATGTAACACGTGGACGAAGAGGGGCCTTCCTAGCCGCCTTGCTGGTATGAGAAGACCGTCTCAGCAAGGCGTATGAGAGGGTTTAGGGTTTAGGGTTTAGGGTTTAGGGTTTAGGGTTTAGGGTTTAGGGTTTAGGGCAAGAAGGGGAAGCGAGTCGACCTAGTCCGATGGGGGCAGGTGAGGGGGCAGGCGCGGCACAGGGGCAAGCCACCTATGGAGCACAGGCGGCAGGGAAGGAAAACAAGCCTAGCATCAAGGAGGCAGGCGCAGCTCATGGTCATGGAGGGAAGAGGTGGGCGACTGGGGGGGGAAGGGACAGGACAGGCGCAGCTCATGGTCTTGGAGGGAAGG